ATGCACTACACTGCAAAGACATTATGCACTGGCTGAAGTAGAAAGTCTGGACGAAGTCACTGTGAGAGTTAGCTTAGTCACTGGAGCAGTGGCGAGGTCATTATGGCTAGAATCAGAAGACCAATGAAGACACAACGGTCTGGGTAGAATGCAGCGAGATCGTTACGAAATGTAGCTGCAAAATCAAACACCGTGGAAGGACAACAGAGTCGATGGAGCTATCCTTAAAGTAGTAGTGCCCGCCTACCGTACTGGATAAAATGTGGCACTCTCCTCTCAGGATAAAACCGCTATCGTGTGTGGTGATAGTACGAACCAACCACACACTGACGAATAAGAACAATGTAGGAACATTGGCGACAAAAAACCTTGAAGGAATCACCGAAAATTTGGCCGGAAACTCAAGAGCTCTCTCTAAAAAATGAACAAAGATATTATCTTTCTTTCCATTTTTTATTCTCACGTATGAATCACAAAATTGAAAGAGTCTCCAATATATTTAATAAGCAAAACCAAAGTGTAACCCTTTCCACATTAAGAGCATGTTTTTTAAAGTTTAAATTCTTAACTTATAATTCTTTTCAGTTCCTTCTAGTTTCTAGGCCCGCCCATATGCAAGTTCATAAGGTTCTTTTGCATAGGGCCTCAAAATTTGGAGGGCCCATATTTAATACTTACCCATGAGTCGTAGTCCAATCCGCCCCTCATTCATTTACTCCCTATTATCCTCGGACGTCCATATTTTATCCATTAAGAAGCCATGAACAGTTATTTGATTTAATTTTCTTTATTCCCCAGCTCTTCACTTGGACTCTTGGCCTGTTATTCTTTCTTTATACCTTTCCTTCTCTCATACTCCCTCTTTTATTAGACTTCCTCCCTATTTCATTACTTTGTTCCTTTGCTTTTAATCTATCTATTGATGGATAATTTTTTTATAAGTTTATGATGATTAATTCTATTTTGATTTCTGTTTCAAAACTTTTCAATTTCATATTTTAATGTCCAAAAGAAAATTTAAATAATGTCTAAGAAGAAAGTTTTAGAATTGAGGATATGGTTTTAATTTAAAAATTTTGGGGCCAAAATTATTTAACTGCACAGGGCCCTCCAATATGATTGGGTGGGTCTGCCAATCTCCTCCAGCTTTTTCCAGTTTCTTCTAGTTTATTAAGTTCCTTCCGATATCTTCATGTACCTTCCAGTTCTTCTAGTTTTTTCCAACTATTCTCACTTTTTCAAACTCTTTCTACTCCTTAACCAATTACTATAAAAATGATACTACCTCCGTCCCATTTTAAATTGTCTGTTTGCCTTTTTTCTCCGTTCCAAAATAAGTTGCCTGTTAGTTGTTTTCGTAAACTTTTAAGAATAAAATACCTAAACTAGCTCTAAAATAAGTCATTCTTCTCCACCTTATCTTCTCATTCATCGTCATCCCTTCTAAAAAGTACTGACAATTTTGAAAAATTAAATATATTTTTTCTTTTCCTTAAATATGCCCAAAAGTCAAAACAGGCAATTTAAAACGGGACGAAGGGAGTATATTTTTAATATGATTATTATTATTACAACTATTATGTTCATAACTATAATTTATAAATTATTTCATTTTTCATTTCACTATTTTTACAATTCATACTCATTAATTTTTTTCTTCAGCTTTTTAATATGAATAATATAGTTTTTTGTGTATAAATCTATATGATCAAATTTTTATAAAAAAAATTTGAAAGTCAAAATAGTTTAGAGAAAAAAGACTAAAGTAAGAGTAAACAAAAAAAATGTACAAAAATAAGAATTCTATGTCTTTATTCAAAAAAATAGGAGTTACATTGAAAATAAAATGTCAATCATGAAAGAAAAATTAGGTTTGCTTACATTATGTGACATTTCTCATATTTAAAACAAAATCTTGTAATATATAAAGTACAATTACGAATATATTTTTTTTATAATAAATTGAGGTGTAACGTAACCACGATAACTTTTTAAAATTTAATATTTTGATATTTATGCTAACTTTATATTTTATTTTTTTTCGAAAATTGTTTTTTTTGTGTATGACAAAATCAATGCTTTTTTTATCCTAAAGACATCCATTAAGATAACGTAATAATATAAAATAATAATAATATAACAACAACAATTAGAATGGAAATAATATAAAAATACACTAAAATATTTGTTTGAAGTGTTTTAAGATTTTTCAGTTTTTCCTAGTCTTTCAAGTTTCATCTAGTGTTTTTACAATTTCTTCCAGTATTTTCTAGTTTATTCTATTTTTCAGTTTTTCCCATTTCTTCAAATTTCTTCCAACATCCGGCTCTTTTTTTCAACCCTAAAGAATATGCTCTAAAGCATACTAAAAGGGTGTTTGGGAGTGTGTTTAAAAATATCTTTTGAAATTCAACTTCATTGAAACACAATTTTAAATATTTTCCAATTAGCTTTAGATTATGGATTATGATTTCACATGTATAAATTATGCTCTAAAAGTGATTTTAACCAAAGCTCGGAATACCTACTTTCTACTTCTGATTTAACACACGTGCTTTTTCAAGACTCACCACACACACAAACGCCCCCTAAACCTCTTAGTGGCGTATGAAGAGTCCACCATATTCATTAGTGTATTAGTGACACATTAATGTCTCACCATTAATATGGGAGCTGAGTTACACACATTTTTGTTTAAAATTCTTCCATTTAATTAAAAATTAATGGCCAGTTAACTCTGTAAAAGTAAAATAATTTTAAACAACGTGTAAAAATAATAATAGAAGATTAGTTTAAAAAATTGCAAAAATTGCAATTTTTACCATATTCTTCTATAAACGGGTTAACTCTGAGAAACAATTTCTCATTCACCCTCTACTATTTTTTTGCATATAAATTATCAAAATATTTAACTCAATTAAGAGAGCATACATCCATTAATTAACAGCTAAAATCGTTAGTGGACCTATTGATAAATATACCCAAGTTGGTCCATTTAATGCCTATTAGAAATGCCAAAAATTCCAACAATCCTCTAATGAATGAAAAATTGATTTGTGGGTCGACAACATCCTATGGTTGAAAACCTGCAAAGAACAAGTGTCTCTACTTTTGAACTTGTCCCTTGTAAAGTATACCTTCTTTACTGGCTTTTCAGTAGAACACGATGCCTTTGAACTGTACTGCTGTTTGTGTAATCGATAGTATACCGTACAAAGATTCCAAGCAATCGCCATTCTGTTCTCATGGTTTTGCCTATTTTGGTCGTGGGACACACGTTTGGTTCTGCGAGAGTGTTTAGAGGATTAAGCCCTAAATCCTCCATTTGAAGCGATCACACTTCACTCTTACATATGTGATTCTTCTAAGAGTATCTCGATTACTCCACTTATTAGACCACCGTGTCTAATGTTCAAGAATCATTAAAGCATATTTATATGTTAACCTCATCATTTTCGGGAGTCATGGTTTTAAGCAATAACAAAAGGGACTGACCGGAGGTGCCATGCCGCCCACACAGTGACCGCGCTTTGTCCTACAAGTAGGTTGTCCCATTGAACCTGGGTACTATCTAGGTGTGGTTTTCCTTCATATGACTTTCCTAGCACAAGAGCTTCAAACTCATTCCTGCTACCAACTTCTCATGCAACTCATTTGTTAACCCTTTGGTTTGCGGATCCAACAAATTATCTTTTGACTTCACATAGTCAATTGTGATAATTCCAGTTGTAGGAAATTGTCTAATGGTTTTGTGTCTACAACAAATATGTCTAGACTTACTATTATACATGTTACTCTTTGCGTGTCCAATTACTGATTGACAATCACAATAGATGCAAATTGGTGGGATCAATTTGTCCCATCTTGGAATGTCCTCAAGGAAGTGGCGTAGCCATTCAATTTCCTCACCACATTTATCTAAAGCTATAAACTTGGATTTCATGGTGGACCTAGCAATCAATGTTTGCTTTGAGGATTTTCAAGTTAATGCTGCACCTGCTAGCATAAAGACATATCCACTTGTGGATTTCGAGTCTTTCCTATTAAATATCCAATTTGCATATGTATATCCTTCCAACACCAGTTGATATCTCGAGTAGTATAAGCCATATTCACGTGTATACCGTAAGTATCTCATCACACGTACAATAGCCTCCCAATGCTCATCACTCGGATTGCTGGTGTATTTACTTAGCTTACTTATGGCACATGCTAAGTCCGCTCGAGTGCAGCTCATTAGATAGATCAAACTTCTAATGGTGAGATGAAAAATGATATAATTTATAAACTATAGTTATGAACATAATAGTTGTATTAATAATAATCATATTAAAAATTTATATTATTTTAGAGTAATTAGTTGGGAAGTAGGAAAAGTTTAAAGAAAATGAGAATAGTTAGAAGAAGCTGGAAGGAACTAGAAAAAAACTAAAAGGAACTGGAAGTTAAGAGTTTAAGCACTAAAGGCCAAAGTAGGTTATGATACCGTCACAGACCATGCCACCCTAATTAATTTTACTCGTTATGTAGCCATTCATTTGCTTTACCCACAAATAATTATGACTCCGGGGATAAATATACGAAATAGTATCTAAAGGATAATAGAATGAGATACTCGCTCCGTCCTAAATTCAATGCTATTAGAATCGGGCCAGCCCGGACGGTCTAACCGGTTGGACCGCAAACTGGTGAGCACTCCGGTCTGGTTAAATTTGCATCGACCCGCCTAAATTCGGTAGACCCGGCAGAACCGGTGGACCGGTTCAACCCGACCGACTCGCGGGTTTGGTCTAAAAGTTTTTTTTTTATTTTTTTTGTCTATTAAATAAAATGATGGAGATATGATTTGAACACTAAACCTCACCATTCAACTTTCTTAACCACTTAAGCTACTAAAGACTTGTTATCAAAGTCATGCTGTATATATAGTGTTTTTTTATTTGTGTTGAGTGAATTGACCTGTTGACTCTTAAGTCAGTGGCTAACTCTATTCGATGTTGAAATCATTGATCACCAAACTCTAGATAGTTGAAGGCTCCGAAGCTCGAATTGGCGATTCAGTCTACCCTCTTTAGAGGGTTGAGAGGTGCGATGGCGTCCTCTAAAGGATCAGGTCCGGCGGCTGCGACGGTGGAGTTAGAGAAGCTGAGCGTTGAGCAACTCAAGGCGGTGAAAGAACAGACCGATCTCGAAGTCAACCTACTCCGAGACAGCCTCAACAACATCCGAACAGCTACGGCCCGCCTCGGCGCTGCTTCCACTGCAGTTACCGATCTCTCCCTCTGCCCTCGAGGTTTCTGCCTTTACTAGCGTTTCTTTTCCGCATTGTTTTTCCTCTACACGAATCCCTAATTTTATACTGTTCAGGGAAGAAAATGCTGGTTCCTCTAACGGCTTCCCTGTATGTACGGGGAACCCTGGATGATGCTGATAAGGTTTTGGTCGATATAGGGACTGGGTATTATGTGGAGGTGAGTTATATTATTTTCAATCAATTTATTGAGATAATGCTGTTATTAATTTCAATCAATTTGTTGAGAATGAACTTCTATGGTGGGATTTTTACCTGTGAAAAGTCTGAGATTTAATTTCTATTTCCGTACACGCTTCAATGTTATTAAAAATGCATACTGAAAAGCATAATGTGATTAGAAGTTAGAACACAAATTCGATTAGTTAATGAAGGTGGAAATGGTGATTGTTTGCTTATCTCAAGGGATGGATGGTCATTCCAAAAATGAAGAAATCCAATCTTAAGGGTAATTGACTTGGGAATAAGACAATACACGAGCGGGTAAATCATTTGGTATCCAAAGAATTTTATCCGTATAGTGTTGGAGTCCTAGTATCTAGTGTACTATCTATGGGATGCTTGGCACTCTTTAGAATATTGTGCAAACCCATTCCAAGATACCCAATTTATCTCACACATAAGTAGGGCTAGGGCAAAATATACGTTGACAGTGGACCTTGGGGTGGGGGATTTAAGGGGTGGGTTAAGAGGGGTGAAATCACAATCCAAAGTCCTGTCATTAGGAAAGAATTTCAATGGACATTTTTTTACATGAAGTGTAATACCACGAACCATAATTTTCAATTGCTACAATACAGAAACAAATCTAGAACCTTTCGCGTTGTATACATATGAAAAATTAAGAACTCTTTTAACAAAACAAAATTTCTAGTAATGAAGCATCAATTGTCTCCAAGACTAAGTTGTTGGAAATTTCTATAAGAGAACTTCAAACTTTTTATTTGACATACCTACCTTTATTGACCTCAACTTCAAACTTGCAGGAAAGGTGTCTCTACTTTATAATACATGTAGAACTGATGAGTGCAACAAATTTGTTGCCCAACGATTGAGTTGTTGGAAATCTATAAAAGAGAACCTTATAAAGTTCATATAGTTAAAAAATAATTATTCGACTGACATTGATGTGAAAAACAGCTCTATTCTTGATCACTTCAATCCCATTGTCAAGTATCAGTTTAGTCACGTAATAGTAAGTAGAAGCTTTGGTTTGTCCTAAAACAAGGCTTCGTATAATTAGCAAAGTAAGATGTCAAAGGCAGATGACATAATAGAATCATATCTTTAAAGCTAGAACCTTTGCAAAACTGTAGTATGGAAATGGTTGGCTGTTTTGGTTTTATACCAAGAAATGTCATAAGCATCTCAGCATAGTCATCCCATAAAGTGCAAGCAACTTTATTCCCCCTACCAAAATAAAAAATATCTAAGTAGTAGAAAGTGTGTTCCTCTATTGAAATTTTTATTCAGACTGTTTGCTAATTCTGGAGCAATAGAACTATAATCCTGCATTTTTTTGCATTCTTGCTTAGTTTCCAAAGGACTATAATGCTCTAATGAGCAGGAAGATGTAATATTTTACGGCCATTGAATGAGAATGAGTTCACTTTTTTAATGTTGCTAGTATTATGAATTCAAAATGAGATCACATGTATAATGTATTCAAATGTCAGAGAAGTAATCAAAATTTGTAGGGGAGTCTCTGGGCACTGCAGAAAATTTGTCACATTTCTATTGTACTGTGTGGTAAAAAATACTCCCTCCGTCCTAAAACTTCCTTCTCGGTTTGACTAAAACTCGTTTTTAAGGGATGGATAAGTATGGCTTTGACTTCCAAAAATGCTCCTCCATCAAAGCTTTGACAAAGAACTAAGGCATTCTAACAAAGAACACACATCCACACATACAACACATCAACACTTCATAAAATTAATTTTAAAAGTTGTTTTACAACATACACGTCCCAAATGATGGCAAAAGCAAAAAAGCAAAAGTGCAAAATACTAAAATAGCTTGGCAAGCATTCTAAAATCTGGAAATTACACTTTGGAAGGATTTTAAAATCTTAGGAGGGAAAGTTCTAAACGTTTCCCTCCAAAAAACAAAAACTCCCACCAAAACCTAATCTATAAATTACCCAATCCTTTCTAATTTTAGTAACCCAACCCTACACAATTTCTGCAGCCTTCTTTCTTTCATCATTATTCTTTGCTTCTCTTCAGCATGCCTTCTCCTCCCGTTGACCCGCCTCCTTGCACTGAGACTCCTGGTAGTCATGAAGCCCCACACAACAGCATAAGACTTTCACACTTTCAAAGACAAAGAATCATTGAAGCAATCTTATCACATCCAAAAAAAAATTCAGGCCAGTGCACAGATCAAAAAGGTATAATTATCAATGTTGCTGCACAGTTTAAAGTTTCAAGAAGAACAGTTGGAGCAGAGCTAGAAAAGAAATGCAGGAGGGTGTTCCCATTGATGTTAGCGATGACTATGCCGACGATGGGAGAGGACCAAAGTCAGATCTAGCATCGTCTGACTCACTCTCTCCCTCCTCAATGTTAGATGCATATACATTTTTACCTATTCCAGGGAGGCTAAACCCCGCCTCGTCAGAGTTTGCCCCTTGATATTGAAGCTCAATCTTGGGGATTTGAGATTTGTAACAAAGATCAGCGGAACCCATACGAATTAGAGGGGCAAAGATTAGATCTAGGGTTTTGAGGGAGAGGGAAGAGAGATGATAAGAAATGGTAGATCGAGAGAGGGAGAGAGAGACAGATGCTGATGAGAGATCTAGGGTTTTGAGGAGAGGGCAAAGAGTGGAGAATAATGGGAAGTCATAAGGAGGTTGTTGAGACGAAAGGAGAATAATGAGGCGTAAATGTGGAGGGTATTAGTGTCATTATACACCTTTTTTTTGAAGTGAGAAGGTAGTTTTAGGACATGGAAAGAGGGAAGTGAGAAGAAAGTTTTAGTAGGGAGGGAGTACATTTATATTATATTTGGTTGTGTTTCAGACAAAAAAGCTCCAAAGTAAGAAGGCAAAGGATCAAGATGGAAATGGATGAAAGTCAATGGAAAAAGCTTACATAAACAACTTGCCGGGGAATGTGGCTTTATACCTATGATCAACAAAAAAGACGCGGGAGGAAAGAAGTGTCTCTATGTAATAAATTTCAAGCTGAAGTGAGACATAACAGCATCTTATAAGATTTTGGATGCCGAAAAAAATGGATGGAACAAAAATTTTGAGAAACAAGACGACATATATTTGTGACCTCAAAGAATTTTGAAACACAATAGGTGAGGTGATGGACAACACCAAATACTTTATGGGGTGACTGCAATTTGAAACTCTTTGTTTTTCTCTGTTGTTTGCTCCAACTTTATCTGTTATTACTCAACACATGTGAGGTGAGGGACAACACCAAACACCCTTTGAGGTGACTGCAATTTGGAACTCTTACCTTGGTTTGACTTTTTTTCTACTACTTTTGTTCCAACTTTAGCCATTATTACTCAACACATGAAAGCATTCAAATAGCTGAAAAAATGGCATGTTATGGGCTCACATATCCAAATCTACAATCTTATTTTTAGTTCCAAGAATATAAGTAAAGCATCAAACATAACATTAATCAGGCGAGTACTCTTGCAATGTATGGGTATCACACCCTAGAAGGCTAGAAACCATTACTTTCAACTCCAATAACCTTTTCAGAATTTCTGCACACTCAAGGGTATCTTCAAATTTGACGCCACCGGATTTCCTCCGTCCCAAACAGGATTTCCAATGTGGGCTTCACAGAGATTGAGAGAAGTGTTTAGAAGATACTGAAAAGATGTTGGATAGGGAAAAGTGAATGGTTAGAATTTATTTAGAGGAGAGAAGTATTTTCGACCACATTCTTTTTTCTAAAAAGGGAAAGAAAATGTGGGAAAATCATATTGGTACCAGTTAGATGAAGCTTCTGTATATAACTACCCTATGCAGTAAGTCTGCTTAGATTCCAGTGAAGACCTGGCGCTATGTTTTGACATTTTAAGAATTATGGAGTGACCTGTATTACACATGTATGAATGTTATTTTTCTAGATAAGAACGGCAGTATGGGACTATACTGTCTGCACCCTTCTTATTTTCATATAGATGAAGCACAAATTTTCTTTATCTTTGTTTTGTTTACCAAATCCTGGGAAAAAAAATCTAACATGTATTTGTTATTTGGTTGTTATCATGTTTCTTTCCCCTTTTTTGTAGAAAACTATGGCAGAAGGAAAGGACTACTGTGAACGTAAAATAAACCTTCTACAGTCCAATTATGACCAGCTTCTTGATGTAAGTCCTAACCACCATCTTTTTTGTTTTGGCAGAATATGCATGTTTGCAATACTATTGAAGCCAAATCTTAAAAGTATATTTGTTGTCTAAGACGTCTTGGGTAAACATATTCTTTCCCCTATCAGTGTCTGGACATACAAGTGGAGCAGATAAATCAAGTCGATTTGTATACCAACAACTGCAGGCCAAAATCTTCCAAAATCAAGTGGAGCATTCTTCCAAAATCTTTGTCCCAAAAAATGATTCATATTACATAAAAATGCTAAATTTTTCACGCAATGTTCCTCCAGAAAAGGAAAAAGAAAAGGTTATAATTTTTTTTACAAACAGGTTCAATTTCATAAATCTAGTTGAACAAAAAATATATGTTTGTCCCCTTTCAATGTTATGCGCTCGAGGGAGAAAAATCTATGCTTGAGCTTTATATATAAAAGAATTTTTATGGACAGTTTGAAAAGGAAAATAGGAAGATCAAAGGGGGATGGAAGGAGTGGTTTAAAAGAGCGAGTGGCGGTGTGTTTAACTTTGCCATCTCTAGCTCCAACAGACCCAGAAACTGTTAGCAAACACATCAAATAGTTGGCCGCCAAACCTTAACTCAAAAAACATCGGTTCCAACGGGACCAAAAAGCTCTTCACCAAACACTTCTAATAGTTGTCCCTTAACCCAAAGGGTCCTTGCCAAACATTCCCTCTATGCATTGCATGTTTGATTTGCATATTTTGATTTGAGTAGTTACGAGCAGTTCCTTTCAATGGCAGGTGGCAGCGAAGAAGAAAACCATTTCCGACGAAGCCGGTGCTGTCTTACAAGCCAAATTGAGACAACTCTCCCCTACAGCATAGAGTAAAGTGTTCATTCAGTCTATAATGTATTTCAAGGTTTCAATGGGAGATAGAATTTAAGGCCATATTTCCAATATCTTGATATTGGCTGGTTTTGAAGCATTGTTTGACTACAAATTGCTCAGTGTCATTGTCTTGGTTTTCACTTTTATAGGAAGAAGATTATGCTGTTTTCAGTTTTGTTTTTTTTAAACATTCTTGGGTAAGCACAATAGGGATCCATGGTCAAAGAACTCGATTCTTGGTGTGTACCAGCAAAACAACTGGTCGAACAATGAATGTAATGACCTGGCGGGATCAAATAGAGGAATGAGTAAACTGGGTCTGTATTTATAAGCTGACCGAAATAGCTTATAAGTTTTTACTTGATGACATGTTTCTTTGTACTTATAAGTGAAAAAATAAGTAGGTTTTGCTTACTTATTTTTAAATTATTTTTTTTTGAAACTCCGTTTTGACTTAATTATTTACAAAACTATTTCTCATCATTTATGAATATTTTCAAATGACTTATCTATTATTTCATTCATTTTACATCCATTCAGAAATATTTAACTTAAATGAAATTTATATGTTAAAAATTCCTTATTAATAATAAGTACCAACACAAAGAAACACTTCCTATGTCTTCAAACGCATCAAATGAATGTGTGTGCTCCCAATGTGGTGCATCTTTGAACTACCATAGTTATTTTGATGCTATAAATTTGACAAACAAGTTGCCCAATCGAGTTTGATTTTAGTTCCTTGGGATTCAAATTACTTCTAGTTTTCAAGTTCAGATTCAAACATTTAAGTATTCCGGTCGTCATCATTGACCATCGTTGATTGGTGGTCTACTATACACTTTCACCATTACATTTTTATTATTCACACTGTTATATTGTAATAAGTTTATCATCACTCATACTGTCAAACACCAATTTAGGGGATAAAAATAATGACTCTTATTTTGGTATTTTGATGATATTTCACTTATATCTAGATACATTTTTTATAAAAGGGGTTTGTTCTCTTCAGCTTATCTATACTGCACTTTTTATTCATTATTATTAGAATCAAATTAGATCAACTCTCAAACCATATAAAAAATAGCTTTAACCTTATCAAAAATTATATCAAATCTTAGTTAATTCCAAATCAGAATCAATCAGATCAGAAGAAGAGAATGAGCCCTAAAGAGTAACAAGAAAAAAACAATAATATTAGAACATTATTCTCATCACATTATACATGTATTTCATATTAAAGTACATGGTTTTGAAGAAAAAATTTTAGTTTGGCAAAGTCGGGTTTGATTTATTTTTGAAAGAGTTAATTCAAATTTGTTCATCTTTGTATTCAATTAACATCTTCATTTAAAACTCTATTTTTTAATCGAGTCTCGGATTTAAAAAAAGTAAAAGGCCGACATATGGCTTCTCGACAACCCCATTGTTTCGAGTGAGTGCTAGCTGCAAAGATGAGCAAAAACTCTTCTATGGTGAGAGGTATTGGCACAAGTCTTAAATTTGAATGTTTTGTTCCTCTTGACACCAGAGAACTTAAAAGCGGTAGATCAAGAGGAAAAATTGTTGCCAAATCTTTGAATAATGAATAACAGCAATTCTCATTTCCCAGGAAAACTCTTGCAATGAATTGGGCAATACTCCCCTTTCTTATTAAAAAAAACATTCTTATAAAAAAAATAAGAATAAAAACACATTGATACAACATGGTCTAAAAGAACCAATCCTACACTTTATTATCTAACACCCATTTCTGTGTGGTCTACAAATAACAAGTCTGAACCCAGATTTGCATCTTTGGATTACGTTTCTTTCTCTTTTGCGTCTTTAAGGTATCTGGCATTCCTTTGGAAATTCAAAATTGCCCACACCAGATGCCGGAAACCTATTTCTGGCCAAAGTGAATCGGGAGAGTAGAGAAGGGATTTTGCACTCTGCCACAGTAGGAAATTGCTCAACCGAGTTTCGCCAGAAGCACGTATTATGATATCAGGATCAGGAACATCGGCCATGTACATGTTCCTATCAACATCTGTTATAGCTATAAGACTGTCAACCTTATCACTTCCGTTCAAGTGCTTATAATTTTGCGATGAATTTAGGGATTTCCCATTGATTCTGTACCATTTCTCTTCACATGATTGCTCAACCGCATGAACGATCTCATCTGTTGATGTGTATGCAACACAAATTGATAGAGTGGCTTTCGAGTTACGTGCAGTTGCTACCATAGCCCTCTCTGCTGCCGATCTTACAGAGTCACTCAAAAGGTCTAAGTTCCCTTTAAAGTATACTCGAATTCCATAACGGTTCACTGTGGTATCCTCTTTAATCAATTCTTCAATCTTTTCCTGCATCAAGTGCATGAGGGATCCAACTTCTTCAGGGCTCCTTTTGAAGTTATCAATACTGAAGGCATAAATAGTTACATACTTCACACCAAACTCATAACAATATTTTAACATGCTCATGAGAGCAGAATGGCCAGCCCTATGCCCATGTCCCTCTTCCAAACTTAGCTTCTTTGCATATCTTCGATTTCCATCCATTATAAATGCAATGTGACTAGGTACTGGAGCAGCAGAAAGTAATAAAACGATGCACTTTCGAATGAAAAAGCACACATTTTCTAACATTTGGCTTGATTGTTTGGCACCCCCACTCTCCATATTGAACTTCAATCAAGTCTTAGATGCAGCAAAACTATCCTGATAAATGTAGGCACCATGGGATTCGTTAATTGCATTAAAGGGAAAAAAGTATTTTTAAAATAATGAACAATCATTTATGTCTCCATTTGTGACACTACCACTCCATGCTACACATTCAAAGGAATCTATCTATCAATAATATATAAAAGCAAAACAAATCTTGAAGATGTTCCCGTCAAAAATTGATGATTCCGGAACTCAAACGAATCTTTTTTGTGGGGTTTGCTTCAGATATTTTAAATATGTGATTTTCACAAATTCTTACCATTGGTCAATCTCGGATTTAAAATATCAAATTAAAAATATTTTAGTTCTACATAATTGACATTTACAACTCAAATCATTTTAACTCATTGGGATATAAAAGACTCAATTCCCTTTTGGTTCAAGGCAGAGCTTCAGTCTAACTGGTTTCAGCACAGGCATTTCAAATCAGATATACAGCAGCGCACTGCGATCCTTGTTTTTCACTAAACTTTGTCGAGAAAAAGTTGTCTACATTGATGACCTTTCAGTTAGGTTCATGGCTTGGCATATTCATTCCATGATGATATAAATTTTTATAACGCCAATGTTAACAGTTATTTTCGTCACGTTTATTTTTACTTTAATATGCATGTGATGTATGCTATTTGTATGTGTGAGATGCATGCTAGAAGTAGTAGGAATTTAACATGCACGTGATGTATGTTGTTTGTATGTATGAGATGCATGCTAGAGGGTAGGAACTTAGTATGCAAGTGATGTCTGTTGTATGTAGGGGTGCAAAGTGCAAACGAATAATATCCGTTTCGGATGTATGATAACCGTATCCGAATCCGATTACCAAAACCGTTATCCGAATTCGCATCCGACAGATGTCTACAATACTAAATCCGAATCCGAATCCGGTGGATACGGATGCGGATTCGGATACATCCGCATCCTATGAAGCATCCGAATAGTAAAAAATCCGAGTCCAAATCCGTATCTAGATTCGATAAAACATCCGATTCGCGAGGAAAAACCGTATCCGTATCCGAAAATAACATCCGTCCAAATATCCGAATATGTAATCTGAAAATCTAAAATCAACCAAGCACAACCAAAAACTTTAAATCCTTAACCAAGTTTCTGAACAAAAAAACAGTCAAATTCGAATGCATTTCCAAAGAAAACAGTCAAACGAAATGCATTTAATTTTTCAAATTCGAATTCAGTAACAAAAAAAAAAGAAAAAAAATCAAAGGAACAATTGGAGTACAACAGCAGTGGCGATTTCTTTTTTCATAGTGGCGCTGAGTCTAAAATCAAATGAACAATTCGAGTACAACAACAGTGGCGATTTATTTTTCATAGTGGCGATTTTCATTGAGGCGTTGATTCTAAAATAAAAGGGAAAAAATAAAAGGAAAATTGAGAGTTCGTACCTAAAATGAAAGAAGAGAGTAGATGATGATGCTAAGGATTGAGGTGATGCGCTGAAGAATGTAGAAGATGAGGCACTGAGCTGAGGCCGCAGACTCGCTGAGGAAGACGCTGGTCAGTGGTCGCTGCCCGCTCGTCGCTGGATCCGGAAAATCGCCGGCTGGCCGCTGGGTCGGTTGGTCGCTGATACTGGTCCATAATCAAAGAATCAAGATTTGGTTTTGGGCTTAGTGGGCTGGGTAGAATTTAGAAAACTAAGAGTATACATTGAAATATTAATTACTTTAAACTACGGATAATTTTTTTAACTATGGATAATTTTTTATTACATATATTCGGTATAACGGATCAAATAATTGGATATATAAACGAATGTATACACGGATTGGATTTTAAACGGATCAGATCTATAATAACCAAATCTGCATCCGTTTATCAATCGGATGTGCTTAATCGGACACGGATAATATCTTTTTAAAACGAATGCGGATCTTTTCCATTTAAAAAAATACGGATGTGGACGATAATCTGATTTTTGGTTATCCATTTACAGCCCTAGCCGAAACATAAAATGCATACAATAATTAAACTCACCTGATTGGCGTGAAAGAACTCTTTTGATTATCTGGATCTTCCAAAAACAGTAACATGGGTACGCACGAACTACTCGGGCGTGGATGGCAATTGAGTTTCTTCTTCTCGAGGTCATCAAGCTTTGTCGACAAACCGGCTAAACCTTTTCTGGATGCCCTTTCGAAAAAAGAACAGGGAAGAGAAAAAATGTAAAAGCTTAATGCAATTGGTAATGAGTTAGGATGGGTGAAAGGTTGTTTTATAAAGTAAATTCTTGGAAAAAAAATGAACCCTACTCTAGCTACCTACACACACCACATTACAATGGTCATTATATATTCACAATAAATACCGGAGTATTTATTATTCTAGGCGCCTACACACACCTCCCAATACAATATTAGTCATTGTTTATTCACAATATTCCATAAAGTTATCCATTTAATGATGATTCCTAAACACACATCCCAAGGCAAAAGTAATGATGTTCTCATAGCCTCCCAAAGACTAGTCCATTTTATTTTTAAACCAAAGTTATCCATACCCAATCAAATACGATTTCGGACCCACTCTTCTACCTGAAACCTTAGGCGGGAAAAAATCACTAATCATCTTTCCCCTTTGTCTTTGTATATTAAAAGATGGTAGGGCTTGGATTTTTTCCATTCAGTTTTTACTTTAAAAATCAAACGCTTTGATTTGATTTTACGAAAAATATGTGAATAGTTGGTTTATCAGCTTGCTTTTTTGCATTTTGGTTTCGGGTTTTTTTTCCAAAATTTTAAAATGTTTTTTATATAAAACGTAAAGTATGTTGTAAAAAAAAGAAAAACCTTTTTGTGTAAAATAACTTTAAATACTTATAAATATGAAAAAGTTGAAATAATTTCAATTTTTTCTAGAACCAACTACGGAGTAATATTTTAATATTATTAGTGTCTATTCTATAAATGATTACTCTAAACAAATTGTTCAACTAAAGTGTGCACCTTAAAAACTTTGGCCATAAAACATTCGAACTACAAGTTACACACTCACATTTTTACCACAAGTTGAATTAAATTGGATTGGAAAAAAATAATCTAAAAATAGAGTTCAAAAAATTAAACGCACACCCCCCATGTGAGAGGGTGTCGAGTGCCCAATAAACATTTCGGAGATTCAAAATATTCTCAAAGTCTTCATATGTAAACATTAATTGTGAAGTATTTGCATTTTTGGTATAATACTTTCATGTTCATTATCCATCACAGTTTTTTATGTAACTATGTAAAATACTCGTATCAATTTTTAATGTTAATATAACTCCACATTAGGATTAAGAGTGCTTCTATGGAGCACCTTGGGTGCATATCATTTTTGTGGAACTTCTCACATAAATTTTTTTTATTTTTTATTTAATAAAATAAATACTCATCTAAGTAATAAAAAATGATTAATTTGCTCATGTGTAGGTTCATTGTGATCTTAGTTCCACCACAGAATATGCCTATGATTAGTTATTGGTGTTTATATTCTTTGTTTTTTTAAGTTTATAATATAATTAAAATGTTCAGAAGTTAAGGCAAAATAGCTTTAATATTCAATGGAAAGATTCGTTATTTGCATTTATGTTTTTTTTCGCATACCACATGCTCATACACAGAAAATAAAGCAAAAAAATCTGACTTATTAGATTCGATTCAATTTTCAAGAGTGAAAATCAAAATGAAAACCAAACACTAACGGATTGGTTTTATTTTTTTACATTCAGTTTTGGTTATTAAGATTGATTTTTTTATCTAGCTCGTCCAACCAAACCTTGATCGGCGTAACCATAAAAAAGTAGAAAGGGCTATTGGAGAATTGGGCATTTGGGCTTGGGGATTAAATATCAACTACAGAAAAACAGTCCGGGCCGCTGCCCCTAAAAATTTAAAAATGGTAATCGGACAAAACCTAATAGACCGGTCCCAGCCCAAACCGTTTTCAGATATGAAAATTGGCAAATCTTATGGTGGACTTAAGGTCTATCATAAACCTACATATGAATAAAATATGTATTTCTTTACTACATAAATAAGCATCTATTTATTTTAATAAAAAAATTAAAAAAAAATAAGATTTTTATGTGAAAGAATCTACAAAAATGGTATGCACCCAAAGTGCACTATAAAAGCATTCTTGAAAATTTGGACCCAACTTGAATCGCCGCCCAATGCATAATGGCAAGATCTGTGAGTCACTTTCCATATTCAATACAAAAAATATGTAGCATGATAAATTGTCCAAAATATCCTAGAGATTCATTCAATATTCTCATACCATTCATATTAAAAGGAAATTCATTAACCTGAAATGCTTGGCACCTCAATCACGTTTGACTCCCCATTTTGTTCTGCTGTGGTTTCAAGACCACACCCAGTGTTCCTGCTGTTAATGTAGTTGAAGACTTGCTTCAGATTTCCCCTCGACGGGCGAGCATTCACCGCAAATTTGCAAATAAAGACCAGCCTTTGTCGCAATTCTAGCTTGGTGATATTTTTCTGCTTTAAGGATATCCTCTCATCATAGCATCCTATATGAATCATCAAGCGTTAAAAAAATGAACTACGCGCGCTTAAAACTAAATTTTGGTGCAAAAGACATTTTTTTAAAGCGATGCAGAAGACATTAGTATTATGGTAGACATGATAATATAGAGGAGAACACAGACCTCTGTCATCAAATAATGCCAGCAATATCCCCAGGCAAACAGATATGCTTATATCTTCTCCTAAAAGATAAACACACAAGTCACTAAAAATATTTAGCGGTCAACTTGGGATAAGCAACGACTTACCATTTGCACAGCACACAAGAAGTTTCTTCCCTTTCCTTAAGTTATTATTGGCAAAGTTGATAGCCAAAGGAAGATTTCTTGACACAGAGAAGCGGTCAAACTTACAGCCCTGTTTCTCACAAAAGAGGTGAATGCTAGCAATGAGGATACACATGGAAAACTGCTGATTTACGCAAATAATAATAGTGGTACTTGTGATATATTCTGTATCATGTTACTTACCACAATCGGGAGGTGTAAATAGGCTTCAGGATCATCTGGCAAGTGGGGAAGTTCTTCAAGGCTGCAGTTAAGTATGCTATCAATAGAAGATGCATCTTTAGCTGCATTGTTGATTCCCATTAAGTGATGGAAGGATGAAGAGATCACAAAAGTGGTAAAATAAATTGCATTATTCTGTAAATATTTAAAATTGCTTACACCTTACAAAAATAGGTACATACTTTGAGATCAATTTAGAGTAAATTCTATAGATAGTCTGAGGGTTTACCACGTATAGTCCTCAAGTCTAAGATATTATATTTGTGGTCCTCTATATTTGAGAACAACTCCATAATCAGTCCTTTGTGGACTATATCATAGAATAGTTCTCATATGTAGAGAACCACGAACAAGTATCTCAGAATTTAGGAGTACATATGAAAAACTTCATGTTATAAAGAACTATTTATAGAATTTACTCTTCAATCTATTTAAAAAACATTACTAAGGATGTTTCCATGCATAGAAAACAATACAAAGATATCATGAATATGCTCATTTCATACAAAGAAAAATACAGAAGAACTTTTCCATGTTCTCCTCAGAAACCAGAGCGCCACCTGTAACACCCTCTCCATACATGAATGTGATGCTACTACCATGGTACCATTGAAAGAAAAAAGCACTACCAATCGAAAAAATGCATACACCATTCTTGTAGTAATTGACCAATCACGCCCTACCTCCTTGCGCAAAGACTAAGTGCCAAGAAGCACTTCTACACTTCTACTTGAGACAGATATAGGAACTCATTTTAAACAATTTTAGACTTTCTATGCATTTGGTAAGCATGCATCACTCAAAGAAATGGAAATTTGAAAATCCATTTTGCACTATCGAGCAAAACTTATCACAATACATCATCAAAGGCAAGGTGTATATCTTTTAATATTGATAGCTAACATCAACCACCAAGGTAAAATTAAAATAATTACCATGAAGGGTTTTGCCAACGGCTACATTGGTAGCACCAAGCCAAGATATAGCATTATCATCACTTCTGGACCCTTCATATCCATCTATACACAGATTTTCTACATTCAGCAGTTCTTTTGCAGGAAACTCATTGCTGAGACAAAATGGTTTAAAAGACTTCAAAGTAACCTGAGGAGCATCATCCCCCCTTTGAGCACAGTATACTCTATTCTTTTCAACAATATCAGCAACCTTCTGATTGCATAAATTAGGCCCCAAACCTATGAGTTCATAAGCATGTTTCCAGAAAAGCGTTGGAGTTAATCCTCTTGCCCAACTTTCTTCATCATCTCCAGCTCCAGCTATATAATTCCAACTAAACTCTGAAGTAGTTCGTTGCTGAAACCCACTTGTCGAGAACGATGGAGAAACAAGTATGAGGGGCGTGAAGTCCCAAGAACTCGACTCTGGCACTTCATTTAACCAAATAACAGTTTTCTGTGAAATCCATAAAGGTCGTAATGGCTTCTTTAAGGAGAAAGACATTGATGCAATGTCAGCTCCGCTATCCTCAAGATCCTTGGTCCATCTATCCAGTCGTTCCTCAATACGACTTTTTTCTGTTTCAGAGACCCAGATAGGAAGATGCAAAGAGCAATCCCAAGTGAAAGAGTACTCTTTAATATCTACACTATGGAGATTTGACATGCAATTATTTGTGTTTGATTCCTGCCACATTGATTTCACAGAAAAATTAACCACAGTTATAGGGATATAGAATGTAGTCAATATACAGCAAGGCTAAAGTAAAAACAATGTCACCATTCCAGTTTTAAGAAAGTTAGAAGAAATATACAAAATATTAAACAATATAGTTGTTCGCTTCTTGCCTGCAAAAAAATACAATAAAGGGCATCCCGGTGCACAATGCATCCCACTGGGGGGGGGGGTCCAGGAGAAGGTCCCACCACAAGGGTGTGATGTAGGCAAACCTTACCTTGCAGTTTGTGGTGCAAGAGGCTGCTTCCAGGACTTGAACCCGTGGCCTCTAGCCCACAACAACAACACTTCAACCGGTGCGCCAAGGCCCTTCGCCTAAAAAATACAATTACACTCCAAACATGAAATTAGAATACTATTAAGATAATAGAAATGATAAGCCAATAAGCCATTATGATTTAATAGTCTGCCTAATATCGCTTTATATATTCCAAATTACATACAACAAGTTATTTGACAACTGGAACCAAACCAAACTCTACCCAAACAATTTTCAGCTCAAAACTGCTTACGCTAAAAATAAGTTGACAGGTTAAGATAAGCAATGAGATCTATAATTATGTGCTCCCTTCATCCCATTAAAAGTGTATGTTTTCATCAAGGTACAATTATTTATTATAGTAAGGTACAACAATTTTAAAACATGAAAATTAGCTTGTTTTCATTAAATATGGCTCTTCATTAGGCCAAAAGCATGTCAAGAAAATGGACTCCAATTGTGGGACGGAGGGAGCACCACCCCCCCCCCCTCCAATTTCCCCTTGTTATAAGATATTCTGAGCGACTACAGTAGTGTCAGCTACTTTTTGCAGCCAAGATGATTGAACACCCATCAAAGTTGTGATCAATTGGTCATAATATTTTCTTTTTTGTAGGGTAGAACATTCTAAAATATATATACCGAGTATATGTGGAATGCACAACAACAACAACAACAACAACAACCCAATTGGATCCCATGAAAGTAGGGTCTAAGGAGGGTATGTATACGCAGACCTTGCCCCTATACCCAAAAGTAGAGAGGCTGTTTCCATGAGAACCCCGACTCAAGCTGCACATAAAAAAGGATCGTCGTGGATACATAAAGCAAGAAAACCACAGGTACAACTCAATTCAAGCACATATATGTGGAATGCATTAAATCTAAAAACTCCATTCAATTCATGTCATTTATTCTTATTTGATAATGTTATAAAAAATAAAGACTGACATGGGTGACACATTAATCTATACCAAAAAAGCTTTTAACCCATTGAAAGTTAATCACCCAACTCTAGGAAGAAAGATCTAGAAAGAATATCAATCTCTTATAAACATTTAATCTATATGCCCAAAAATGCGCGCACACACACACACAAAATAGATCAAAATGTACTCTGCATGCTTCATTTTTCCATATATCATTTATTTTAATGAGAAACATAAAAATGGAAGATAAATTAAAACAAATGACACTACAATAGAAATGTTTCTATTACCTGATCATTTGGAATATTAACACCAGTTGATCTACACCTATAATTAGCAATGGCACGATTCAATACACAACACCAAATTGGTATTGTCTTCGACATGCTGTCGGGAAATCTTTTCCCTTTTCTTGTTGAATCAATGATCATACAACCTCCCCTTTGGCCTAGTCAACAAAAAAACAGAACGACCCTCACATTAGATAGCACTCTCTGCACCTCAGAAAAAGAATTCACATTACTATATTATTTCTATGCATATTTCCATTGATCATTTGACAAAATAAAAGTCATGTCACCTCTTTTTTGTAATACTTTTAATTTAGTTTTTAAATATAAAAACCTATTTTTTAATTTTACATCAATCTTTGAAAAAATTAAATTGAAAATAGTTTCACTCAAACATCGTAAATCAAACCAGAAACCTATTTCTATGCATTCATATTCACAAAGATGATGATCTCACTGAGGAACTAAGCCATGATGTCATTAATGATGTAAGCAATGGTCAATGGTGTCATCCGTGATCTCACCTATAATAATACTACCTCTGTCCTAGAGTATTTGTCCAGTTTTGACTTTTTTGGTCAACTATTTTCAACCTTTGACCTATAATTAAATAAAACATATATTGTATATTAATTAGATAAAACGAAATGGTTCTTTTGACCTTAGATTCTCGGGTCAATATGACCCGAGCCCCTACGGTGCTCCGTTCGTAAACTTGATGGTTCCTACACCCTAACCCCCCTAAACCCTACCCCATGCCACCTACCTACCCACCCCACCACAGCACCTCCCCTGTTCCTCTCCCTCATTTTGCCGATTGGGGAGGGGGGCAGGAACCATCAATTTTATGAACGGAATACCGTAGGGCCCAGGTCATATTATGACTTTGGGCTCCAAAGTCAAAAGATCCCCACCGTAGATAAAATAATATTTTAAAAATGTTTTATATAATAAATCTTATTAAACTATTTTTGTATCGATATCTAACATCATTTTTATTTAATTTGAGGTCAAAGTTTACCAATTTTGACCGAAAAAAGTCAAAAGTGGACAAATACTCAGGGACAGTGGGAGTATATGTTTTTATCAATTCTTTATATACTCCCTCTGTCCGGAAATAATCTTCCCGTTTCTCCTTTTTTCTCGTCCGGAAATAATCTTCCCATTTCTAATTTTAACCCTAATTCTTCCAAAACTACCCTTCTCATTAAATAAACTTTCTTTCTTTCTTTTTCTTTTCTTCCTATTCTTTTCTTCTTTCTTTTTCTTTCCTCCTCCACTTTTCCATCTTTTTTCTCCACCTCATCTCTCCATCTCCTCGTCACTTTAATTTCTTCCATTCATTTTCATCTACCTCATCTCTTCCTCCTCCTTTCTCAAACCTTCTCTTTTCCTCTCTCTCTCCCCCTTGATTCTTGCTTCTCTTCCTTCGATTCTCCTCTCTCTCCCCCTCCATCTTCTTTCCTCCTCCTTTCCTCTCCGTCTTTCTTCCAAATCTGGGCTATGGCGGCAATGGTAGCGGCGATTGTGGCGGCTAACGTGATGGTGAGTGTAGATCTATACTACTACTCATTATTATTTATAGATCTACACCACCACCCCTTTCTCTTTGTATTTATTTTAGATATGTTCCATGGTAGCTCTGATGGTGGTACATGGGAAAGTGTTGGGGCTGACCATGATGGTGGGGATGCCAACGGTGGTGGGCCTGGCGGCGATAAAAAGCCTGATGGTGATGGCAAGGGCTGGGCTAGCGGGGGTGCTGGGGGCTAGGGAAGATGTTGGAGCACCGATGCTGAAGGCGTAGTGGTGGGGCTCAAGTTGGCGGTGGGGGCGGGCGAATGTCAGAACCAGGGACGGCCAACTTCCTCATTCATTCACTAGCCTTTTCAAGGGCATTTTAGCCATTTCAACTCATAAGTCAACCATTCAAAAAAATGAGAAAAAGTCCAAATGGGAAGGTTTTTTCCAGACGGAGGGAGTAGTACTGTTGTTGAGGCTTTGTTTCTCCAACTACGCATGTCTCTATTTCTCCATTTTGGTCTGTCACACAATATTTACATTATACTTGTACCATATTTTATATGATTTATGTGGCTCAAATCAATTCGTAATTTAGATATTCAATATCGATCACACAATTCTGCTTTTCCTTGAGGAAAAAATCATGCCAATGCACTCAAAAAATTGAGATTTTACATGAATACTCCAAGATAACATGATGATCATTGCCATTCCCGAATTTAAGTACTTATACAACAATGCTCCGTGAATTTGTTATCGCACATGGATCCCCCTTTTTTCATGTATATATGTGATCCCTTTGTAATCTTGGAGCATTTTTTGTAAAAATATTTAAATTTTGGAAGTGCCGATGATGATTATGTAATCTCGGAGTATTCAGGTAAAATATCAAATATGTTGACATACGGGCATGAGTTTTTCCTTTCCTTAATTTGCTAGTTGTTCCAAACTTAGTGGAACAGGGGGCGCAAATCTTATGTTTGGCAAAGAACATTGATGATACAACAAACAAGCCATTTGAAAGGTTGATTCGTTCATAGACCATTGACTCTTATCTACATCTACGACCATAAAAATTCAGCACAGAATGGAGAGCAAACCCACCATTTCCTTTTCATTGAAAATGGTGTATTGAGATATAGGGAAACAATAAAGTTTTGTATTGAGGAGGGGAGAAAGCTTACCGGCGAGCAGGGCGACATGAAGATTGAGACGAGAGGTGTTAAACGACCAGTTATTGGTGTGGCCATCGGTGGATTTGAAATAGCAGGTGGAGTGGAACTTTGGGGAATACCAGAGACCGCACCTGAGGTTCGCCAAAAGCGGAAGCTCCGGCCATAGCTCCGATATCTCTCCGACGAAGATCGAGTCCTCGTAGATTGAGCGCAGCGCGTTATAGAGACTGTTATGTTTTTGCTTTATGCTTCGAACTGCCTTGTAAATGCTTAGGGTAACTGGTTTCTCCAGACCTTTATCCTCCATGGCAGCAGATTTTTAGGGTCGAGGATTCAAACTTCCAAGCAAACGTTCAGGTGATTTCCCTATCGCTGCTAGGAGGGGACTGGAGGGGAGGGATGGGAAGGAATTGGAACTTTGGAAAGGGATGGAATGAGGGTTCCGAGGATGGATAAAGTGAAAAGTGGAAAGCACCTCATAATGTTGGTCAAAAGCATAAGCTGACATGCCAAACAGAGTAAAATCACTTCCACTCAGAACAGAAGCTAAATTGTTAAAAGCAACGCACTCTGCCAAACACCCTCTAAGTTTGTTTAAGTGCAGAGGAAGAAAGTTGGATAAAGTATGTAGAAATATTTATTAAAAAATTTAAATTAGTCTTTGTATTTAAATTCAAATCAACTAAGAGCTTGTTCTTTAGAACTGGATAAAAAAAGTGGGATGTTGAAAGAAACTGGAGAAAACTAGAAAAACTGGAAGAAACTAGAAAAAACTTTAAAAAGTTGAAAAACCTAAAAAAAGTTTTAAAAAAATTTATTTTAAATTCTTGTTGTTATAAATTATTATTATTATTTTTATTATATTTATTATTATTATTATCTTTATTTTTATTATTATTATTATATTATTATTATCATCATCGTCATCACGGTATCTTAATAAATTCCTTTAAGATACAAAAAAAGTATTGTTATTTTTTAAATACAAAAAAACTATTTCAAAAAAAAATAATTATAATATAAAGTTAGCATAAATATAAAAAATTAAATTTTAAAAAGTTTTTGTGGTTACGTTTCACCTCAATTTATTTATGCAGTATTTATTACAAATAATATATTTATAATTATACTTTATATATTACAAGATTTTGTTTTAAATATCAGACATATCACATAATGTAATCAAACCTATTTTTTTTTTCATGATTGACATTTTATTTTCATTGAAGTCCTACTTTTGGAATAAAGACATAGAATATTTTTTTTTTACATTTTTTATGTTTTACTCATATTTTAGTCTTTTTCTCTAAATTATTTTGACTTACAATTTTTTTATAAAAATTTGAAAAATAAGAAAATTTTAAGTAATAAAGGGAAAAGTGAGAGGTCTTATATAAAGTTAGATTAATAAAACATTCTATGTTACTTTTTTATCCATAATTTTTTAATATAGTTTAACATATTGATGTTTTCGTATTTTATCATGTAGATTAATATACAAAAAATTGTCTTATTCATATTAAAAAGTTGAAGGAAAAATAATGAGTGTGAATCTTAAAAATAGTGAGATAAAAAGAATAATTTATAAATTGTAGTTATGAACATAATAGTTGTAATAATAATAATACTAATAATAATAGTAATAATAATAATAATCACATTAAAAATATATCGTTTTTAGAGTAATTGGTTGGAGAATAGAAACAGTTTGAAGAAAATCAGAATAGTTGGTAGAAACTGGAAAAAACTGGAAGGAATTGGAAAAAACTGGAAGAAACTGGAAGGAAATAGAAGGAACTGGAAGAAACTCGAAGTTAAGAGTTCAAGCCCTAAAGACAGGCTCTAAGTCTTTGTACTGAGTAATACCACATTAGTTCTTTATAACAGGAGATTTTTCATATTTAGTCATCTATTGTCAAATATTATCGCGGTGGTCCCTCTTTTATGGATATCTTTATATCTATAGTTTGTTGTTGACGTTCTGTCATGTTGATGTTGATTTGGGAGCTAACGAGGTAATTTAACATCAACTTCAAGTCAAGTGACGTATTCTGATGTCGGTTAGACGGACAAAATAATAATAATGACTATGATTGTGGACTAAGATTTTGACGAAAAACCACATTTGCAGATAATGTTTGTAGTAGAAAACGACTACAATTCACAAATGTCTCTTCAATTGTGTCTAACAAGAATGAGATATGACCATTGTGAAATTATACTTTTATCCCTCAAATTAACACCAAAATAACAAAAGATTAAAAAAATGACAATTTGTGGAAAGATACTCATAGAAAGACCATCATAGTAATATATAATAATAAAGGACTGAATATAAAAACTTTCTATCATAAAAGACCAATTATAAAATTTACTCATCTATTTTTGTTTACAGCAAGTCCTTGTCTTCATTGGTCTCTCATATATTACCTAAGCTTTTAATGATGACATCAAAGTTTACTATGTATGACATAAAATGGTTGTATTGACATGATAATTCATACTTATTTAAAAAAAGAATTACTAATATAAAAACATATAGTTTTTTATTTCTTTTTCTTTTTGAAAAAATTAGAGATAAATGACACAAAAAATATAGTATTCGGGGGAATGCATGCAATTCTCAAAGTGTTTGAGAATTGCAAGATATAGCTCAAGGACCATTGGTGTAATTTTTGAACTCTAGGAGGAATGCATGCAATTCTCAAAGTGTTCGGGAGTAAATGACACAAAAAACTCTTTTGAAAAACTATTCAGGTGAAAGTGATATCAACATGCTAGGTGTATACCAAAATGTATCTCAAAGGTAAATCTGATCAAAGTGCATGTCGGGGCGAGACGCTACAACAACAACAACAACAACAACAACCCAGTTGAATCCCACAACAGTAGGGTCTGGGGAGGGTGTGTGTACGCAGACCTTGCCCCTACTCGGAAGTAGGGAGGCTGCTTCCAAGAGACCCCCGGCTCCACCTGCATAAAAATATGGAAGAGAACACAGTATAGCACAGATAAGGCACCAAGTACAAGCAACAAGTACAAACAATAGCAAAAGATTCCCAACAAATACAACACACTACAAAACAATCTCTACAACACCGAGCTCCTATCCAGCTACTCTAATCCTAGTTCTCCAAGGGTTCCTATCTAGGGCCCAAGCTCGACCCAGCCCGTATAACGAGCCTAATAATTGGGTTGGCCCTCAGGCTTTAGGCCAACCCAATCCGCACGACAAAAATTTCTAAATAATCAAAAAAAAATTAAAAGTAATGTGTTAATATATTAGATGTCTGATATAATAAGTATAATGAGTAAATGAAAGAACAACTAATATATAGAATGTGATTTTTTATATTGCTACTACGTATGTAATACGAAATATTATTTATTGAAATACCATTATCAATATGTGATATGTAGTAAACAATACAGAGTAATAAAGATGTATTCATTTTATTAAATATATACTTATAATTCATTTTTTTCTCCGCAAAAATATGTATGCGTGTTTATAATAATTTGAAATAGTATTGTTCTTTTAATTATTATTAATGTTAAAGTTGTTGTTATTATTTTATCATAATTATACTATAAAAACAATTTAATTAATGCAGACCGGGTCAGTCGATGGGCTTGAGCATAAACCCAAGCCTGATCCTAAAATATTCGGGTCGCTATTTATAAGGCTCAAGCTAGTCCGAACCCTAAAATGTCAAGCCAGGTCTTGCTATTTTTAGATAAACATTTACGGACGGATTGAATATCCGAGCTTGTGATCGAATCTACTCAAATATTTACACTTACATTTTGATAGCTTATATTGACAACAAATGTCAGTGCGAATGTAAACTATTGTATCGATATAACTCATCAATTTTGTACTTACATTGACACAAAATGTAAGAGTAAATCCTTGAGATGTATTTTAGGGTGCAATTTTTGGCACAGCTAAATTTATCCAAATGGTATCTGAGGGCAAACATGACGTATGACTCGTAGATATTGTATCGTGGATTTTTTTTTTGGTATAACAGTTACTCCATATAATTATTACGGAGTACACTCTATTCTTTCGAGAAGGTATATGGTACAACCAGATGTACGGTACATCTGGGTAGTACTCATTCTGAAATATAGTAGTACTCATTCTCGTACAAATAAATTAGCGTGGTACTCATTCTAAAATAATGCAGTACTCATTTTCACACATTGGTTCAATATAATTATAATATGAGTAAATTCCATAAAAAATCTCCAATTATAGGCCGTTTTACATATTTAATCCCTACATATCAAATATTATTAATTTAGTCCTCAATTATTATATTCATTTCCACGAATGGTCATATGTTAACATTTTTGTTAAGAACGTGAATAAAATTATAAATTCACACTCCTTTATCTCCTCAATTAAGTTTCATCCCTCCTCTCGCACTCCTTTCCCAAACCCGTCGCTGAGTTTGAAGCTTTGAACCCAAAATCGAAATCATCACTCTTCTCCCAATGGTTTGTCTAACTGATGGAACCCAAATTCGAAACTAGTAACCTTCATTGATGAGTTTTAATGTTTATTTTCTTTGCAGTTTCTTGAAACTAACTCATAAAACTCATCCATAGAGCTTATTGGTTTTGATTTTAGGTTCCACCAAGAAGACTAATAATTGAGAGATGAATGATCATTTCAGTTTTGGATTTAGAGTTTTAAACTCAGCGACGAGTTTGGGAAAAACTACGAGAGGAGGGAGGAAGCTTAATTGATGAGAGACAAAAGTATGAATATATACAATTTTATCCATGTTTTTAACAAAAAACGTTAACAAAGACCATTCATGTAAAATGATATAATAATTGGGGACTAAATTAGTAATATTTGATATGTAGGGATTAAATATGAAAAACGACCTATAACTAGAGACCTTTTATGGAATTTACTCTTATAATATTCATCAACAAATAATGTAGTGTTCATTCTAAAACAAAACAGTACTCATTCTCAAATAACCTAGTGTTCTTACTCATGTAAAATAAAATCTCTACCATAAATATTTTTTTGGTTGTACCCAAAATTGGATACAACCGGATGTATAATATAATTTGCCTATTCTTTCCCCTCTTAAATGACTATTTATTTTAATTTTTTGAGTACATTAAAATTTTAATTAATGTAGACGAAAATTATGCCGTTTTTCATTTAATTTTTAATGTTTTTGATAAATTCTTAATAAACAATTTTTTAGAAATAATGAGATCTATGAAATTTAAGTCCAAGAATATATACTTTTTAACCGGTACAGAATAATATTAAAAAAGCGTGTGATGCGCCATTGCCGAAAAAAGTATAAAATTAAAAGTTGACGTAAATAACTTTAAATTACATATAAAAATTTGTAAATGAACTAAGTACCACCATGTTGCCTTCATGGTAGGATATCCATGTTACTCCCTCCGTCCCAAATTATAATGCCTGTTTACTATTCACAGGGTCAAATTTCATTGACTTTCTTTCTCTATTTTCGTTAGCAATTTGATAAAATAAAATATTATTGTCACTACTAGTTTTGTAGATCTTTTGATGTAGTTTTTTAATATGTAATTTTTATTTTTTAATTCTATACCATTTGTCATATAAAATGGTTTGAAAATAATTTCAGTCAAACATCGTAAACCGAAACAGACGTTATAAATTGGGACGGAGGTAGTATTACTTAATCGACTACTCAATGGACAACCGACTTACGACCTCTGCCCCGTATTTTATTGCACTAAGTCATAACCAGGATTAGGTCATTCCATTTCATTTGACAGTAACATAACACTTTGAAAAGTATACATCCATGTAGCTATGTAGTGAGAGCGCAAAAGAAATGAGATCATCACTGTTTTGCTACAATAATGATAAACGGTGTGGACACAAGGCATGTGTAATGTGGTCCATATCCTGTAATTACACATTTGTTGGGTCTGATGCATCATAATTTCATCTTTTTCTACCGGCAGCTCTAGCATTGCCCTGATCAGTGACTTTCTTGTCTTGGAAGATGATGGATAACATGACAATGTAAACGATTGTCTTCCATGCGTTTGACCTTGTTCTAAACATATTTTGGAAACTTAAACTTCACTTGTAGCCATGTAAATCTGTCTGTATGTCTTTCCTTAAATAATTAACTAATCTCTCGCGGGTTTTTATCACGTTATCATATACCGGAAGAAATTGACATCCCTTCAACACATGACTGAAGCTTTCTGAAAGATTAGTGGTCAATATTCCATATCGCACCTGTCACACTCGAGAATAAATAATCACCCATAATCTTGAACATCATGGCTCATGCATTATGCAAAAACTTGACCTCCGCTCCTTATCACACACCGATTTGAGTAAGATCGCATTCATTATGTGTTGCAAAAAACAACTTTTGAAGTAGCATTTTATTATTTGCTTTTGAAATATTTTATTTTATTAATGTGCATTAGTATTTTTATTTAATTGATTATAAACTCATAAGTTTCATTTAGTTTGATGATCAAATTGGATAAATGAATGTGGTATTTAAGATATTTTTGCTTGATTCCTTTGAAATGTGGTGTTAAGGTTTGGTGAAGTCAGAAAAGAAAACGAGAATTACCAATCTACTCAAATCACCTTAATAATCCTCGTACTTGAGTAAATATACCAATTATATAGCAACCTCACACGCCAATACTTTTTTTTTGGGAAGTGATACTAATATACTATGAAAAAGCTTAGAAAAGAATTGTTTTAATTTATTCAGAATGTCAAATATTAAAATTTTTACTCCTTATAATTATTTACAAAATTGTGGATTTAGAATGTTACGTAAATCGGTATCTTGTTGATTGCTTATATTGATGTAATTAAGTACTTCACAATTTATTTTCAAATTTGTTTGTATTATTTTACAATTTAATTTCATTTTTCGTATGGTAAATTATGAATACATATAAATGTAATTATAAATCTCACAATTGCTGGATCCGCCTCTAAACGTGGCGTTCATTATGAAATAACTCGCAATATATAGAGTATAATCGGTTGTACGGTGTTTCCCGTACATCTGCAGTGAGTGCTCATTTACAAGCAACTGAATACTCACTTTCGAATACACGAGTATTCGAATAATTGATTCTCATTTCTCTAAAATTCAATTTTGCTCAAAGATCAGTATTTATGCGAATTTACCTTACATTAGGATGTACTCCGCAAATTATATCGTACAACAGGCTGTACGGGAAGAACCGTACAGCCGACGAAAATTACCGATCAAGTGGAGCGCGATCAAGTCAAACCCTAGGTTCTGGAAACGAAGACAGTACAGAGCAACGGGAAGAAGAAGGTGCGGGAAACGAAGATAGTACAGAGCAGCGTGAAGAAGAAGGTGATGGTGGAGATAGAGATGATGATGTAATAGTGGGGAAAGTGATTGTATAGCAGGTGGAAGGGTTCATGGGGAAGTGGCTGATATAGAAACTCGTAGTCCAAAATAATTCAGCGTTTGAGTTTGGAGAAGAAGAAGAGTTGGAGATTGATCTTAAACTAAGAGGAATGAATGAACGGTACTTAGTTGAGAATGAACACTACTTTATTTGAGAATGAGTACCACTTTGTTTCAGAATAAACACTATGTTATTTGTAGATGAATATTATAATTGTATTAAATAATTGTGTGAAAATGAGTACTACATTATTTCAGAATGAGTATTACATTATTTCAAAATGAGTACAACGTTATTTCAAAATGAACAGTTATGTTTGTGCGAGAATGAGTACTACTTTACTTTAAAATGAGTACCACCCGGATGTACTATAGGTACAACAGGCTGCCTTCTTTCCAAATAATTTTCTTTATTCCTTAATACGGAATTACCGAGTATTTTTTTTAAAATTAAGTTTGCCATGGCTAAGGGGCTGTTTGTTTCAACCTCTTAATGGTTCAGATGTCTGAATGGTTCAGCACTCAATGTTCAGACTGTTTGTTTCAGCCTCTTAATGGTTCAGATGTCTGAATGGTTCAGACATTTGCCTCTGAATGGTTAAGTATTATACAGAGTCTGAATGGTTAAGACCTCTTATCTGAATTGATCAGACATTTGCCTCTGAATAGTTAAGCAATATACTAGCTCTTAGGGCCTGTTGTTTAGAGCTTGAACTCTTAACTTCCAGCTTCTTCCAGTTCTTCCAGTTTTTTCCAGTTCCTTACAGTTTTTTCCAGTTTCTTCTAGTTTTTTCCATTTTTTCTAGTTTCTTCTAATTTCTTCCAACTATATTTATTTTCTTCATATTATTTCTATTTTCTGACAAATCACTCTAAAAAATTATTATTATTATTATTACACTTTTTTTAATTACAACTTTTATGTTCATAACTATAGTTTATAAATTATTTCATTTTTTGATCTCACTACTTTTATGATTCACATTAATTCTTCCAGTTTCTTCAACTTTTTAATATGAATAATACCGTTTTTTTGTATATTAATCTAAATGAAAAATTAGGAAACTATTTAAAAAATTATGGATAAATAGTTATATAGAATATTTTTTAATCTAAATTTATATAAGGTAAATTACATTTAAGGGTCTGGAAGAATAGTATTATGAAAACCAAGAGAAAACTACATTTTGAAAAAGAAAAAATGACCCAAGAAGTGTAATATCTATGCTAATTTTATATTCTAATTATTTTTTTAAACTAGCTTTTTATATATGAAAAATAATATTCGTAATATTTTTTTTATCTTAAAGACAATCATTAAGATAACGTGATAACACCACCACCACCACCAACAACAAGAATAATAATAATAATAATACTGATAACAACAAGAATCAGAATGAGAATAATATAAAATCACATATAATTTTTTTTTAAAGTTTTTTAAGATTTTTCAATTCTTTTAATTTTTTCAGTTTCTTTTAATTTTTTTCAGTTTCTTCAAGTCCTTTCAGTTTCTTTCAGTTTCTTCGAGTTCTTTCCAGTTTCTCCTAGTTCTTTCAAGTTTCTTTCAGTTTCTTCCAACATCTAGCTCTTTTTTTCCAGTCCAAAAAAACAGACCCTTAATGGTTCAGACTTCTTACTAATTCAGCAGTTAATGGTTCAGACCTCTTACTGATTAAACACTTACCTATAACAGCTAAATTTGTCTTCTTCAGCTACATCTGTTGTGGCTCTTCACTTCATCCTCCCTCTTTTATTATGGCTTCCTCCCCACTAATCTCTCTATCTTGTCGCAGCTGAACTTTAAGGCGTCAGAAGGGCTTTAATTCTTCATAACCTTCATTCCTGGCGAGTTTACGATTTCTTTCGTTCTTTGTTTCTTGATTTGTTTGTTTCAAAAACCAATTTTTATATTCGAATCAATAGGACTATCTTTCAAAATTTTCCAATTTTCATTTAGGACACATTTTGGTTTCAGATTTTTCCAATTTTTCTTCAATCCCAAAAATTTGATTTTTGTGTCTTCATATGGGGACTGGGGTAGCTTTGAGCTGGGACAATACCGAGAATGTCACCGCTGCTTACTTGCACTGTTTCTCTTCAAACCTAATTTGAGAATATTTATCAATTTTAGAAGTTCATATTACCTTTTTACAGGTTGTGGCAATGCAAGAACAAAGTCCAGCAACAAGTGATGTATCTGAAATTATCAATTCTTTGAAGATAAAGGTTGCATTGGAGCGTGACTTTTATATTAAGGTATGTTCTGCTCCATGACTGACTTAGACATCAGAATGTTCATTCATTGTCTTAAAAAATCTTATCAAATGTTAGTTTTTTGCTGATTTCCTCACAGAAAAGGATTCAAGAAAACACACAGAAGCTGGTTCATATTGCGAAAGTGCTCCATGAATCATCAACAGAAAGGAGAAATCTCCAGATTCTTGCACCGGATGGTAGTGTTGATCAACTGTCAAAGAGACAGAAGGATGCTATCGATATGCAAAATGGAATCGATGCCCCTAGTCACATGGAAAATGGCTGCAATAGCCCTAAAGAAGACGGTTATGCCTCTGCAATTCTTTTAGGATCAAGCATTGCAGTCAAGAATGCTGTTCGCCCCATTAAAATTCCAGAAGCAAAAAGACTGCCTCCTTATACTACATGGATTTTTTTGGATAGGTGGGTTATTATAGAGTATTAATTTGTTTCCCCTCCATTCACTTGTTACTCTAGTCTGTGTAACATTATAATTTAGCTCTTTTGCTAAATGCACGTGCAATGACAGCCAATGCTCTAATATTTGAGTCTCCCTTGATTCCAATACTTGGTTTGCCTTGCCATGCATTTTTGTTTTGTTTTCTTTTCTTCCTAAACATACTTTGCAGGAGAACATATTGCAAAAACTCATATAGCATAACACATATTTATTTCAAAGGAAATTATGGAAACACGTGCTTCATGGTTGACATAAGTGTAGTTCTTTAACCAGGCATTCAATTCTGTGTTTACATTTCTGTTACTGGGATTGTTGATAGCATTTTAATCGTAGCTATGTTTGTGCAGAAACCAAAGGATGACCGAAGATCAGTCTGTGGTAGGTCGCAGAAGAATTTATTATGATGAGAATGGTGGAGAAACTCTAATTTGTAGTGACAGTGATGAAGAAGTAATCGAAGAGGATGAAGAAAAAAGGGACTTTGCGGAGTCGGAAAACTATATTTTGCGGTTCGTACAATTTACCTATGTGACATGCTATTTGTTATGTGTTCTGTGTATTGACTGTATTCCACATTGGGCACCTGTTTGGATGTTATATTTGAGATTTCCCATCATGAAAGTGTGCTGTAGAATGTCAAATTCTGTACTTTTGTGGAAATCAGCAATGCAAATACTAACTATATTACTATCGCAAATTGCATTTTCCATTAGAATGGCTGTCAAAGAGGCTGGTTTATCTGATACGGTGGTGGAATTGCTAGCTCAGTGCTTGTCTAGAAAGCCTTGTGAAGTAAAGGTATCCTCTCTCATTGATCATGGTGTTAATTAATTTTGTAATGTTCGTTATTCCCAACTTTATTATCTAATGAAATTGGTCATAGTGTGAACTTTGGTCCAGCTGTTTCCCGGTCCATATTTGCTGGCTTTACAGATATAAACCACCTTCACACATCTTATACAGGCAAGATATGAAGATCTAATGAAGGAAGACTTCTCTGCTATGAATGATAATACTCAAGGCACTGCAAATTTGTATCTTGACAAAGATCTTGATGCAGCAATGGATTCATTTGACAACCTATTTTGCCGGAGATGCCTTGTGAGTAGTACATAATTTGATCTCCATTTACTTGACCTGGATAAATTTTGTTACTCCCTTCGTCTAAAATAAACTTCTCATTACTTTTAAGGAAAGCATTGGATGGTCTACATTATTTCTTCTATTCATAGATGATAGATCTCAACCATACAATTTCACCATTTCTTAAACTCTGTAAAACCAAATGGGAGTATTTTAAAACCAAATGGGAGTATTTCTTGTAGTGGTCACCAGTCGCTGTTATTAATGGCAGGGACCTGATAATAGCCGATGTCTACAGGCCACCATAGGTAACAGGTGGGTTCGGAAAATACCTTTTCGACCAGCTTTTAGCCTTTTCAACTGACTTTGGCTGTTTTGAATTTTCAAAAAGCTAACTTCAGTGTTCTGCAAATGGTTTTTTCAATGGGTTGCTCGATCCGAAAAGCCAAAATTTGAAAAGCTGGGGAAGCAGCTTCTGGACTTGGCTTTTACGGGGGAAATTGAATCTTTTTTTTTTTCATTTTTTCGTAAATATATAGACAAACACACACATATGTGTATGTGTGTGTGTGTGTATATATATATATTCCTTTATAGAGAATACTTCTTCCTTCCAAAATCATCTCGAGAATAAGAAACTCGCACTATGCACGCCTTCTCATTTCATCATCTTGTTAGATACGTCTCGTTAACAATTTTCATATTATTTATTTCTATGAATTTTATAACAATGTAATTTAATATATTAATAATTTAATTTGTACATTGACAAAAGCGAGAAACAAGTATTGCATTTATTTTGTTAAAAATGAAAGTAATTTTATTTGGAAACACCTATTTAGTGACAACTTTTACCAAACATTTTTAACAAGCAGCCAACACATCTACTCGGCCAAAACCGCTAAACCTATCAGCCATTCAAAACATAAAACAAAACATAAAACAACAACACATAAAGCCAATGACAACCAACTTCCAAAAGTGGCCAACAACTCTTTTTAAATTTAAAATGGCTCATGGCAAAAAATTCAACACTCCTTTATGCCGCCTCCATACCCGCCATTTAGGCCCTGCTCTTTTGGGTTGGAATTTTAGAGTTGGATGTTGGAAGAAACTGAAATGAGTTGGAAAATGTTGGAAGAATTAAAGTGTTAAAAAATCATTCAATTAAATGATCACCTAAATAAATATTTAAGAAAGCTCTATTTTTAGATAAAAAATCAATCCTTGTGCGTGTTTGTGGTGGTATATTATAAATTTGGATATATAATGTTATTGTATATTCATCATATATAAATACCTCTTTTAAGTCGTTGTTGGAAGAAAATGGGAGTTGGAAGTAAGTAGGTGTTGGAAGAAACTGGAAGGAATTGGAAGTTAATTTTTCCAACTCAAAACAACAGGGCCTTAACATCACTGGGAATAGGTGAGTAGTTCCATTTTGAGGCATCTTATGTAAATGTTTTTATTTTATGTTTTCTAATGTTGCCTCAAATTTTCTTTAAAATAGAAACAAATCTTCTGACACATTTTTGTTTTTAGTTTTTGAAAACATAAATTACAATTTTGTTAGTTATTGGAAAATGAATTTTTGTTTTCGATGTTTTTGAATTTATGTTTTTTTGTATCTTTTTTTCTATTATATTTTATGTTTATTTTTCTTCGGGTTCTTTTGTGTTTTGAGCATGGGGTCTCTCAGAAATAACTTTTCTACTCTACAGCTAGGATAAGGTCTACATACACCTATCTTCCCCATGTCTCCCTCTTGGATTTTACCGAGCTTCAATAGTTATACAAAAACAAGTGCAACAAGACTATTTTATTCTATCAAATGATCAATGAAAATACAACTCAGTTGAATCCCACAAGCATAAGGCCTGAGGAGGGTGTGTGAACGCAGACCTTACCCCTACCCCCAAAAGTAGAGAGACTGTTTCCAAGAGACCCTCAACTCAAGTGATAGATAGCAGAAACTCACATAAGACACATAAGGTAGAGGAATCACAAAACAAAAAAAGCCAAGACAACTAAGCACTAAGCATAGAAAGCACTAAGCATAGAAATCACAAAGAGATGAGTGAGAAAACTACCACCCAATCCAAGACGCAAACCCAACTACCCTAATCCTGGTCTCCAAAAGTTCTTATCTAAGGCAATATCTTCGACAAGGGTCAGAAGACTTAGGTGTGTCTAATTACCTCCTAATTTTTTCTAGGTCTCCTCCTTCCCTTACCCTCTCCCACCACTAGGGCCTCATCATGTCGTCATCTCACATGCCCAAAGCACCTCAACCTAGCTTCTCGCAACTTCCCACCTATCCTTGGACAACCTTGTTTCGGATCCTATCTGACCCCGTCTTTCCACACATCCACCGCAGCATTCGCATCTCTGCATCATGTATTCGATGAACATGGGTCTTCTTAATTGCCCAGCACTCCGCACCGTATAGCATAGCCGGTGTGACTACAGACCGATCAATGAAAATATATAAAGAAAGAGAGTATGATCTGACCCTTGAATAGTAGATGGGAGGATTATCTAGGGACAGACGTCACAAACTACAGAGGGAGTACTAAATTATGAAAGTTAACCTAATTTAGAGATATAATAAAAAGGAAAGGGGTTCTAACAAAATGGAATGAGGAAATATTTTTATCATACAAAATATTAATTTTACATGCAAGAGATACCAAACAATAGATGTGCACACAACCATAGAGATACTCCCTCTGGGCCAAATTAATCTTCCTGTTTTTTTTCAAGACGTCCCAAAAAAGGCTTCCGTGTCCTTTTTTGGAAAGCTTTTTGTGGCTCAACATCTATCTCTCTACTCTTCATCACTTTCAACCACCCAATGTCACTTTTCTTAAAGTTTGTGCCAAACCCAATCAAGAAGATTAATTTGGGCCGGAGGGAGTATATGTGTTGCGTGAAAGCTGAAACTGTACAACAACAACAACAACAGAACCACTGGGTCTGGGAGGGAGTGTACACAAACCTTACCCCTTATAGATAAAAAGGAGGGCGTGAAAGCTGAATGTATACAATAAATTAAAGAAATGTTTTTGGAACAGAAACCATTAAACATGACATAATCAATCTAACTATCCACATTCAGTATGCTAACTATGGTTCTTTTTTTGGCTCTCAGGTCTTCGATTGTAGATTACATGGATGTTCACAGGATCTTATATATTCAGTGAGTTGAGCTTTTAGAGCAAAAATGTATGGAGTATTTAGTATGGAACACTCATGATGCCTTGTACATTTTTCAGGCTGAAAAACCACCTTTGTCCTTGGGTGCTGATGCAGACAAGGAACCTTGTGGCTCTAATTGTTTTCGTGGGGTATGTTCCTTTCACTCTTGACTTCCTAACCTGATTTTCTTCACATTCCGCTTCCTTTTCCCCTTAATGTCTTAGTTTCACATTAGACATATACTTGCCCATTTTTTTCTGTCCTTGCTATCAATTGTAATGAGGATCACAATTTTTTTCAGATGCCAAAGCCAGAATGTAACTCCAAAATGACCTCTTCACATCAATGTGAAGAAAACATCATCCTATCATCTGAAGGTGGTACAGGTGAGTTACCCTTGAAGAAGAATGTGGAGAAAATATCCAAATCTTCACATAGTGAAAGTGCTTCTACTGTCAAAAGATCATCTGAAAGTAGTGACTCTGAGATTCGGCCTACAAGTGATGCCACTTCTGGAAACTGCTCTGCGTCACCCAGTAAAAGAAAAGAAAGTAAACACAGAAGCAATAAAAGAAATAGTAAGCGCATTGCTGAGAAAGTTATTGCTGCCATAAGAAAGAGGCAAAAGAAATCAGCAGCTTCTGAGCATGACTCAGTTGTGAGTGGAAATTTAGGTTCAAAAAGTTTGAGCCATCCTTCACCCAAAGACAATGAAAACATTTGTTCATCTGCACAAGAAGAGCAATTTCATAATAGTAGAAAGCCTAGGAGGAAAGCATCTCCACTTCTGGAAGCCAACGAATCTTCACATTGTGAGGCCATAGTTTCAACCCAAAATGAAGCTGTTAGTGATCGACTGGTCACAAATGATTTAGTTCAGAAGGCAGATGAACTTGTAAATGAAAATATTTTGAAGAAAGAAGTAAACGGAGATAAATCTTGGAGACCAATTGAGAAGTCTCTTTTTGAAAAGGGTCTGGAGATTTTTGGTAGGAGCAGGTTAGTGCACTTAAAGTTATAGTTACCAGTTTTTTTGCCCCCGTTCCATTTATGTGTTGGCTAGTGCAAGGAAGCTTGACTTAAGTCATTGATAATCACCCATCTCCTTTTGACGTAAGAAATATGTGGTTCATGCTATTTCTCTCTTCTGAATAAATTTCAACCACCAACTTTCCACTCTTCTTAAACTGTGTTCTCAGTCAAATGGGGCATTAATGTAGGAACAGAGGGAGTATTATTTAATTTAGAGTCAGTGAATATGAGCAATATATATATAAATATATATATAAATGTATGTATGTATGTATGTATGTATGTTTGTATGTATGTATGTATGTATGTATGTACGTATGTATGTATGTATGTATGTATGTATGTATGTATGTATGTATGTATGTATGTATGTATGTATGTATGTATGTATGTATATATATATAGCAACTACATATAAAAGTTCCATTAGTAAACAACCACATTTAATAATTGAGAGAAAATACTGAAGTAAACAGGTGAAGAACGCATAGTTGGATTGAACAATAAATAGTACAGAGTAACTAAAATGGGGTGTATAAAATATTTTAATTGTCTGGTTTGTACACACTTGTTTTCTTGTTTCTTTCTGAGAGATTTCTCAATGTTTTTGAGGCTTTTTTTGGCTTCTTATTAGTTGATATATTTTTATTTGCTCAATTATTTTAAAGTTGCAGTATTGGCTCTATAGTTTGTAATTTCTCATTTTTATGCATTTCACTGGATTTGCAAATGGTGTATCTATGTTTCATAAGTTGATGGATATTTGCGTTGTCAGTGAATTAACTGATATAACATGATTTACTGGTTTATGACATCCCTTTTCTTTCATTATATAATTACTTGAGCTAGTGGCAACCTATGATGGTAGAAGTAGCTATTAATGTAAAAAAGGCTGTGGATTTGTTTGTTTTATCAATTTGTTTATCATCAATCATCCTGCAAGAACTTTCTTCTTTGTTGCACAGCTGTTTGATTGCTCGAAATCTCTTGAATGGTCAGAGGACGTGTTTGGAAGTTTTCCAGTACATGAATAGGACTAAGAATAAGCTATCTACTCAAGCAGGTGATGGAGTAGACTGCATGCTTGAAAGTGGTTCCAAGAGTGATGAAATTGTGGTTAGTATTCAAATTTGATATTCTTGATGCATTTATACGTCATTTTGAGTTTGACATTTCTTTTGAATTCTATTTTTTAGTTTTCCAGTGTTAATTTTTTTGAGAACTTTTACTAGGGTAGTGAAGCACGTAGAAGATCAAGATTCTTGCGCAGGAGAGGTAGAGTCCGTCGCTTAAAATACACGTGGAAATCAGCAGGATACCATGCAATAAGGAAGCGGATATCTGAGAAGAAGGATGAACCTTGTCGTCAATATAATCCTTGTGGTTGTCAATCTCCATGTGGAAAGGAGTGTCCTTGTATTGTAAATGGAACCTGCTGTGAAAAATATTGTGGGTAAGCTAATTGTTTTCTAGATCCAGAAATGTTTTAGACTGAAATTTGTCCATGTTACATCCAAGACCAAGCCCTATTCCAAGCCAAACACCATTTAAGTGTATTTGTTGCAGCAGCAGCACAACGTACAGGGGGATCCCCTCCTATGTTGGCTGACTACGCAGGGGGGGTAGTGATTATTTAAAAAAATGTATATAGCATTAAAAAAATTAGTAAATTAAAAGAGTGCCCCCGGTAAAAAAAGCAGTGCACCCCTGGTCCAAAAACAAATTTGTAATCCAAAAAAATGGTTTACATAGAATCTGAAAATAATAAATTCAAAATATGATAATTAAACTTATATATTTTTCTATTTTTAGAATATTTCATTTTTAATTATTTGAATATTTGTTTAGATGGAATTTATCCATTATTTTTTCATTTCAAATTGTTTAAAAAAAAGGATTTGGGGGCAGTGGCCCGCACCCGTACTATTCTTAGTAGGTCCCGTAGTCACTACTATTTCTGGATCTGCCAATATCTGTTAGAACCTTGGTCATTGACACATTTACCGTCCCAAACTTCATAGAAAGTAAGAAGCAAGGGAAGTTTAATATGGCACCATTATTTACTTGAAGTTAAACATTGTCAAAACTGACTTTTTAGCTCTATTGGAAATGGACACCTTTTACATTTCTATAAAAAACATTATTCTACATTTTGACTTTTCCAAGTATCTTGGGACTTGAACTGTGGACCTAGAATTCTCTGGCTAAATACTGATGCCAAGTTCAGTCCTATGTTGAAATTGTTTGTGGTTTTTTGTTGTTTTTGTTCTTTTCTCTCTCCATAATGTATCAATAAATGCTTCGCAAATGTTTGCTTATACTTTTATTTGTAGATGCACGAAGACTTGCAAGAATCGTTTCAGAGGATGTCACTGCGCTAAGAGTCAGTGTCGAAGCCGTCAATGCCCATGTTTTGCTGCTGGCAGGGAGTGCGATCCCGATGTTTGCCGCAATTGTTGGATTGGGTGAGCACACTTACTGATATACTTATTTGACTCTGCTATTATATACCTTCTCAACCATGTTTCTTCCAGTTTGTTAATTTCCCAAATCATTTATGTAAATTATTATCGGTTTAAACCAAGGTTGTTAAATCGAGATTCAAGTCATGAATGTTAGACCTCTTTTGTGAATCTCCAATCATATTTTGAATAGTAAGATACATGACCAAAAAATTTATACTATGCAGTATATTTTAGTAAAAGATAGGTGGTACTAGAAAACATTATATGTTGTGATATCATATTTGACCTTCAAAGTTCAAAATATTTTTAAATCTAAGGCATAATGATATTATGATAGTGTCATACATCAAAACAAAAAGGTCATATATGTCCACAAGGCATGTTGATACTGCCAGTTTACTGGTTCATCCCCTACATTCCTAGGTGGTCTCGTCATGCTCATTATCCCCAAGATCAACATTAGTAAGTATCATTCTTAACATGTTTGTGTGTCCCACTTTTTTTTGTCTCTTACTCCCTATGCCCAGTTTAAATTGCCTGTTTACTATTCACGTGGCCAAATTTTAACCACTTTCTTTACCTATTTTGGTCACTCATTTGATAAAATAATATAGTCATGTCACCTCTTGAGTCATAGAAATTTTGATGCTGTTTTTAAATATATAATTTTTAATTTTTATTTCTACACCAATTCTCAAATAAATTGTTTGAAAATAATTTTAGTCAATCATCGTAAACCGAAATAGACAACTTAAATTGGGGAGGGAGTACCTTATTTAGTAAATTTTGTGTGACCCACACTCATTTTTAGTTTTTCTTATTTGTTAACTTTAGTATTAACCACACAATTCCTATTTTCCTAATTTGATGCATCTCTTACCCATTTCCAATGAAATAACAGGGCGGAGGGAGTAGTATATTTAAGGATATACTTCTAAGTTCTAACTATTAAAATTTTTAAATTTTTGTATCGTATCACAATTTGGATTCGTAAGATTCAATGCAAAACTCCTTTAGTCCCACTTTTTTGGGACACGAGGGAGTGGCATAGAGATTAATAAAAGCAAGATTGTGTGGTTGATATTGATGTTAAAAAGTAAGATAAAGTGAGAATGCATATGAATCACATAATTATGACCAAATACGGTATGAGACAGAAATAGTGAGACACACAAAAAGGTAAAACGGGACAAAAGTTGGCCGGAGGGAATACAATATAAGATTCAGGTACACTTAAGAGACATCTTACGATTCATATTGCTAGGGTTAAATTTTGTTACTGTTGCTTACTTATGGAACTGATTATACTGTTTGTTTTTACTGTGCAGCTGTGGTGATGGGTCACTTGGGATTCCTTTACAAAGAGGTGATAACTACGAATGCCGCAATATGAAGCTACTCCTCAAACAACAGCAAAGAGTAACCTATTCTTTATATCAAAGTTATTATTGTTTCGATATTAGCTGTTGATTTAATAATATGATTTTTTTTTGAAATTTTAATGCACAGATTCTTCTTGGAAGATCTGATGTATCTGGATGGGGAGCTTTCATAAAGGTGAAGACTAAGTACGCTGCTGTTTAACATTTATTGTTAGATCTTAATTTCTTTTTCCATACTTTCAGAATAGTGTTAGCAAGCATGAATACCTTGGGGAGTACACTGGTGAATTAATCTCCCACCGTGAAGCTGATAAGCGTGGAAAGATCTATGATCGTGAAAACTCTTCATTCCTCTTCAATCTAAATAATCAGGCAACGATAATGATTTCCCATCTTGAACATATCTCTAATCCTTTATTTAAAACCCATCTTTTTTTACTAATTAACATCGTTTTGATTGCATAGTTTGTGCTTGATGCTTTTCGAAAGGGCGACAAGTTGAAGTTTGCCAACCATTCCCCAAATCCAAATTGTTATGCGAAGGTAATAAAATCATTGGGTCCCCTAATCCCAATCGATGTGAAATTACACTTTTAGCCCTTAATTTAACACCAACACGACAGAATGTCAATTTGGATGTGCATTAAATATTTGATAATAGATGACCGAATATGGAAAACCCCCGTTTAAAAGGACCAATTACAGAATTTACTCTTTCTTTTGGTGATTTCTTGCTTGGGGTAATTCTTTGATAGGTCCTCATGGTGGCCGGAGACCACAGGGTTGGAATATTTGCGAACGAAAGAATCTGCGCAGGAGAAGAACTGTTCTACGACTACCGATATGACCCAGATAGAGCCCCGGCTTGGGCAAAGAAACCCGAGGCGGGGTCCACTTCGAAGAGAGACGATGCCCCGACACCTTCCCATGGCCGTGCTAGGAAACACACCTAACTCACAAAACTCACAACCATTCAATTCATTGGTTAAAATGATTGGTTTCTCATTCTCCCATTAGTTTTTGTTTTTTTTTTTGTCAAAGCCACTCAGCGGGATCGTAGGCTCAGGTCTCTCAGAGTTTTATTTAAAACCATTTTGGTGGTAATGTAATTTAATTAGAGCTTGCAGAGGATTTTTGTATTACATTCATTGACCACTTCCAGAATGGAAAGCTCACTTCTTTTTATAGAAAAAAGTGCTTTTTAAGCTATGTGTGGTTAGGAGAAAGACAATTGAGAGGAAAGAATGAAAAGGAAAGAAGTTTGAAAGATTTTCATTTTCATTGGTAGATTTGGATGCAAGGAAAATTTGTTCTTTTTGTTTATTTGGTAAAAAAGAGGAAGGAAGAAAAAATTGTTCTTATTCTTTGCTTGGATGAAATAGTGAAAAGGAAAAAACATATTAGAAGAAAATGACATTTTTGTCCTCGATTAAATGAAACTTATGTCTTCTTTTCTTTTATGGAGGCCGTTGTTTGCTACGGAGTACGGAGTATATTAATAGAAAATGTTAACCTTTTGTCTCAAATTAAAATGTTTGTTTTGTTTAGAGTACTATTCATAGGGTCGGAATTTATTGATTTTTTGTACTTACGTCATTACTCATTTGATAAATTAAAATAGTTATGTCATCTCTTCTTTTGTTCGGAGTAAAACTTTTATGTATTTTTAAATATGTAAAATTTATTTTTAACTATATCCCAATTATCATATAAATTGATCTCAAAATAATTTCAATCAAATGTCGTAAACCAAAATATGCAATTTAAATTGAGACGAAGCAATTACCCTTTATTTTGATATTAAATTTTAAATAAATGAATTAAGAAGATATTTCGATTTGCCTCGTAATTTCAAATGTCACTCTAAGTTAGAGACGGAGGAACTATAAAATAAATATAAAATTAAAAATCTATAGACTACTAGGCCTCAAATTAATATTTTTTGTTCCAAAATAATTTCTCTTTATTATTACGACTTCTCGATAATTTTTGTTTGTATGCATATTTTCATTGATCTTTTGATAAAATAAAATATTCTTGTCACATCTTGTTTTGTAGAATTTCGGGTTAGCTTTTAAATAGATAATTTTTATTTTTTATTTCAGTATCAATTTGTAAATAAAATCGTTTTAAAAATTTTGCATGTTGATCGATAAGGGTAATTCATTTTAGAATGAAGGGAGTAGATAATATTTATTAAAGAGACATCAATTATAATTATGGTTATTACATATTATAATTAGTGTTATTATTAAGTAATACTACCTTTGTCTCACTATATTTATCTAGTTTGACTTTTTATGAATCAAATGGTACAACTTTGGAGCTCAATTAAATAAGAATTGCAATGTATATTAGTATAAAATAATTTTATTAAATGTATGTTGTTGAAGATTTTCAAAACTTGATTTATTGTATTAATTTGTAATACAAATAAAGATTAATTGAAGATCAAAATTCATCATTTTGATTAAAAAAGTCAAATTAGACGCATACTGTGGGGCGAAAGAAGTGTTACTATATATTATTAGCCATTAATGTGGAGGATTCGAGAGCATATTCCTCCACCTATAAATACATTGTCTTGTATTCCCTCTTATTCACTTAGTTGTATATCAGAATAAACACATTGCCTTGGCGACCTAATAGTTTTCGCTCCCGCCGCTGCTGTCACGGGTGGTTTATCTAGCGACAAAAATCTCACTCCCACTATTTCTTCCTTCCTTCGATCTTAATGTATTCATATTACCTTCTAAAATAAACCCTTTAGTCAACCAGAAATCACTCTAGATCATCACAAAAGATTGACAAAAATCTTTGCAATTTAGAGTTTTTTACGTCAACACTTCCCAATGTTAACCATAATGTTTATCTCTCATAGTTGGTGTTACCAAGCAGTCGCCAACAAGTCCCCAACCCATGCAAGACCCCTCTCCTCCTATCATAGTTTTAAAAACCGGACCGGACCGGACCGGCCGGTTCGGACCGTGAACCGGCGAACCGATGGTCCAACCGGTCCGGTCCAGCCCGTTGGACCGCAATGTGCTTCGAACCGGTCCGAACCGGTTTGAACCAGTAAAAACCGGCCGATCGGACCGGTTTTTTTTTGCTATTTTTTTTCCAAAACTTCACTCCATGAGGGTTTGAACCCAAGACCTTAAATACATTTGCTTCACTTCTTAACCATCCAAGCAAAGTAACTTGTTGTTTCAAGTTTGCATAATTTTTTATAATATTTCATAATTCATAAAAAGATTGTATACAAATTCCTTTTCAATTTTAAAATATTAAATCATTGATATTATTTTTTTTATAAAATTTTAATATTATTTTTTAATATGTAAAGTTTATTTTTTTAATTTAGTAAAATAACTCAAATATATTAATATAATTCTAGTCAAATATTATAAACTACTTTATTTAGGTATTTATAAATGAGAATGTGTGTGTGTGTGTGTCTATATGCATGTGTGTGTATACACACACACACACACACACATACATACACATATTTGAGTTATTTTACTAAATTAAAAAATTATATATATATATATATATATATATATATATTTATGTATTTATATAATTTTTAAATATGTTTAAACCACCGGTTCGACCAGTGAACCAGTACCTTGACCGGTTCGGTCACCGATCCGGTTCTGAAAACTATGCCTCCTATAACCATCCCCCAATCACCTATGTGCTTCTCTGGATCCATCACCACCGCTTTGTGATTTTAGATCATATCATCACCTCAGCCTGCTTAGTCAGTAAATCTTTGGTCAATAGGCATCTCATATAACACCCTAAATCTGTCAAGGTCTGCAGCCCCTTTCAAACTTAAGTATTAACTTGGTAATGTAAAAATTCTAAACATTTCAATAGTTCAAACTTTATATCATCATCATAAAATATTTAGAAACAGTAACAATGTTTATCAAATTGCGGAAGCTTAATAAATACTTTTACATCACAACCAATAATTCATTTTTGAAATAATTATTGAATAGTTCAAAACCATCACACATCCATCTGACATCTTGTGTCCCCATCCGCCGTCAGGATCAATCACATCATTCTTTATTTTGTTCAACTACGTGTAGCAAATAAAACATACTACATGCTCAATGTTGAAGCTGAGTAAGGATATCTAATACTTTGAACATCCACATAACTTGAATCTCAATTAATAATAAAATCATTTGATATCATTCACATAATATTCATTTCAATTATTCAATTTTTGTAATGTCAACAGTTCATTTAAACTATTCTTAGTTTAAGGCCAAATTCATATTGATCACAAAGCACTTAAATTATTCTTTTTTTGAATGCAAACTATTCTTGGTCTAAGGCAGAACACAAAATCATGACTTATTCTACAGGTCTTATAGGTCACGTTCAGAAAACTGAACAACAGATTACTCACTGTTGGGTGAGTGGTATCCCCAAACGAGTTATCCTCTAGTTTGGTTTGTAGATCCCGTACGTACATTTAACCTAGGCCACCAGACATCATACCCACAAGGCCTAAACTAATTAATTCACATGGGGTCTATCTTAGAGTTCTTCAATAATATAGCCTTAATCGTTCATGACCATCATTTAAATCTAGATATTATTTTAATCAAACCCCAATCTTCACAATCAACAATCAATAACAATCATCATAATATTTAATAACAAATAGTAGCCTAGCGTCGAGTGTAACACCTTAGCTTACCGTCATGCATCAAATAGGATTCTAAAATTCATCAAAATATCGTATTTAGTTTGTAAATGTTATCCATACTAATTTATAATTGAATGATATCAAAAACAAGACTTTACAACTCAAAATTAAGGTTATGGGAAGAATCTCCGAGTCAGACAGTACCTATCTCGGTACCAGGGTATCGTCACGGTACCTTAGTACCGTCTAGACTGTATAGAGTTCCAGCTGGTGTCAGGTACCGCCCGAGAAACTTTGCTTGTGACGGTAGCTAGCTACCATAACTAACGGTATGGCCTACCGTACGGGCGGTATCTTCGTACAGTCTAGACGGTATCCAGGTACCATTTTTGCGGGAGTTTTGTACAGTGTCGTCTTCAACCTCTGCCAAAACTTCCATAACACCATTTTAAGCTTCTAAACTTGATTTTAACTTTGAAAAAATGTTCTCTAACAATTTAAATAATTAATTCGAAGCTTTAACAACAATATAAAATTTTATAATTCTTGGTTCTTCAAAAATGTATTTTTCATTTTTATAGCCCATAACTCAACCAAATGATAATTTATAAATATAAAAACGATCTATATGAACATTCTAATCACTAGATATATCTAAGGGCTGACCTCAAGCTTAAATGAGGGATTTAGAAAATTTCCAGCGAAGATTACGACCAACTCCGACGACTTCAAGCTCTCCGGACAGCACCACCGTGTTCTCCACACTCAGAGCAACAAAATATAAGAAGAAATGAAGGAGTTCGGTGAAGAACGGATAGAGCATGTGGATCGTTATATAGCCATGGTGAAGGGGAAGAAGCCAGATATGTAACCTTCTTCGTGACTCATGATCGGCGAAAGTCTCATATTGAAGGGTTGCAAACAACTCTCCGTGATTGGGACTAAAATTGGTCCTAATCGGGATACACTTTTTGCCCCAACTTTCTCCGAATTAAAATCTGATTGCACTGTCGCAATTAGACAATCAAACTCTACGCAAATATATATTTTTCATATTTATTTGAAATACTTATTCTGACAATATATTTTTGGTTGTTTGACTTTAACAGAGTCAAAATTGATTTCATTAATCTTTTATTCACAATATTCTCATATTAAATTTGTATTATTCAATATAATGATTTATTTCAATAAATCATTCAAGAGTTCACATAAGTCAAACAAGTCTTAGTTTAGGTCTGTACTCTTGTCTTTAATTAAGACCACATATTCAATTTTCATTTTATATTCATCCAAAGTCACGATATTAGATATCAAATATCTTCAAATTTTGCCTAAAGTCCAACAATAATTTATTTTAATCATAAACAAATTTGTTTATTTGAATAATTATATTAATAATACTTCTCCCTCTTTCGACATCACCAGTAGGAGTCTATCCACATCAAGTCTTCTCCCATCCTCCTCAGTGCCAACACATCTCTTTTGTAACATTCTTTAGTTTGTCTAGCCAAAAATATACTTCTAGATTCTGATTACGATTCTGGTCATGATTCAAAATAAAGTTGGCGTTCAACCTTCACCGTCCAGAACGTTGGATGCATGTTAAATTTATTTTAAAATTGGGGTAGTGAATTATCTTATAAAGTGAGATATCCCAAGTTTAATTTCAAAATTTTCCAAAACTTAAATTTTTTAAACACTAATTTCTACTCCGTAAGTCCGTATAGCATAACGTAATATCTCTCCATACATCTTCAATCCATTAAACACTCAGAGTTATTACTTCTACTCAAAATCGAACCTGTAAATCATCATTATGCCACTGGACAACAAGTCTTTATCAAAAGTTAATAAATTAATACGGAGTACGAATAACGCAAATAAAAATTTTATACTAAAAAATAATAAAAATGATGATAAGTATGACGCAATAATAATAATAATAATAATGCAAACAAACCACAAGACGTCCCAAACCCGAGATTTCAATTGGATTGGGACTTAACGTCCGTTTTTATCACTTTAACGGCTACCGCCTACCGGCCCACACAATGCACCGTCGTTTCTCATGCTTTTTAAAGTCTGTTGCGTGTAGTTTTGCTCCGTTTCGGTTTTTATTTTTTGCCATTTTTATATTTCTTTTTATTATTTTCTCTCTCCTCTCTCCTCACTGATTGCGAGGCTCATCGGAGTTTTTCTCGGAGTTTGGTCTTCCGGTCTCCAATTCTTTTTTTTCTTTTTCTAATTTCTCTTTTTCTTTTTCCGTTTCTGAATAATAATCATAAAAAGATTTGTACTTTGCGGTCAGTTTCAACACATAATCAAAGGCCACTCAGTCTCCGGATTTTCCATTTTCTTCCCCACTTATTTCTCTCTCTGTATTTTGTTACTACTTTTTTCCCTCTCTCTAGAAGAAGAGAGAGAGAGAGAAGGGATCGGAGCTCCGCCGCCGGCGCTCACCGGGAAAATCAGAGCCGCCGGTCGGAGAAATGAGGATGCTCTGAGGAGGAGGAGGAGGAAGAAGGAACCGGCGCAGATTGCTCCGAGCGGGAATTCATCATCGGATGTATATATATATAAATTCATGGAATTCATGCGGATAACGTGCAATGCTGGAAAAATCAGAGGAGAGAGAAAGGAATCGAAGGCTTGGAGGTTCTTGCACGGCACAGAAACCTAGATCTCTTGTTCAATCTCCCATCCTTGCCTTTTGCCGTAATTTATTCTAATTTTTCTCTCCCTTAATTTCTTAAGCCTCACTCCGTTTTGTCTTCCTATATAGTCTCCTGTGCTATTGCATCTCCCTCTCTCTCTATCTGTACATTTTTCTCTCTTCTGATTCTTCTTCTTCTTCTTCCTTCAATCCTCTGGTTTGTTGGAACTCAAATTGTAGAAAGGTGGGTGCTCTGAATCTTACTTGTTTGTGCAAATTATGTGAGGAAACATTTGTGCCCTTTGGCCTTTGATCTTTTGATCGCGATTGAAGTTTGCCAATTTTTACGTGTTTGGACACTTGCAATGCACGATCACCGCCTCAATTGAATGAGTTTATGTCTGTTCTGAAGGTTATATTACCGTCTTCTCGATTGGTATAGTCGTTTAGCTTTTCTGTCAGTTGGTTAGTTGATGTTTTTGATCCCGGAGGGGATAGAAGAACTTATATTAGGATTTCTCTGAAGGGCATTTCTTTATCAGTTAGTGATTAAAACGTGAAAACACCAACTCTAAACTCTAAAGGGAAACAATTCCAGACTTGATGCTCTTTTTTTTATGTTGTCATTGAAGTGATTTCCAACTTTTGAACTGTTATCGGATGAAGAAATTGATTTCCAAGTTCCAACCTTTGAAGTTAAACACTTTTCTTTTTCCTTTCCTTACAGATTGTCTTATACGTGCTCTGGTGGGATCTAAAGGTGCAACTCTCTCATCATTTGTGTAGTGCAATCTAAGTCCAATTTGCATAATGCCATCCCAGATGATGGATCCTCACAGTTTATCTCCAAGGTCCTTCTTCTCGGAGGAGTTATGCTTTCACAATGAGGTATTCTCTTCTTGTGCAATTCCTTTTCCCTCATTTATGTACATGCTTAATACCATGGAACTCAGTTTGCCCAGAGTCTGTAGTCCTAACTTTTGGGGCAAGTGAAACTTAGCTGTAAGAGGGGTTGTTATTTCCCGCATTGTTATCTCTGGTAACCAGTTTATTCTTTTACATACTTGGCAGAAGCCGGTTTCAATTTGGAAGTCGGATATCCTACCCAATTACAATGGTGAGTAGTAATATTCTAAGACGCAATTCAGGCTCTGTTCGTTGCTGCAAATCCTGCAGCAATGGACCACATGATTGACCTTTCTTTTACAATTGTCTTTCTTTGCAGCATATATGCTTCTTAAACTACATCCTCCACTGCACTGCTCCACCTGATGTGTTTGCTATCTTGCATAAGTCTTTAATTTGTCAACTAACCTTCTATTTTAGACTTGTGCCAATTTTTTTGTTAATGTGCTTCGATTTTCCCAGTAAACTACTCCGTATTAGATTTTATGTTTTCCTGCTGAGAAAGTGATCTTTTATGTTCTCCTGATGACACAGTGATCTCTAGCGCTTCGTTTTCCCTATAGACTGTGGTCAAAAGGATGAGAGCGAGAAAGAAAGTGACACATTTTTCCAATCACCGTACTGAAATTTTAAAAGTAGACTTTTGGAAAATCAAAGCAATGCATGAAGTACTATATTTAACATAGGCTATTTAACTGCCAGCCAAGGTGTCTATCTTGACACACTCATTTTTGGGGTGGAGGGGGATTTTGATGATAAAGTATTACAGAGTATTTTACGTTTCTTCTTCATGACTATTGCTTCTCAAGGCAAGCCTTTTGTTTCAGGTCTAAAACTATAAATGTGATTTAAAAGCCTTGACTATAAGTTATTGCCTTTCATAGGTGTGAGAATGGATGAAACATTCAGAGGAGGTGGTCCTTCACCCCATGTGAACCAGTTTTCCATCGGTTCTCAGATGGCTAAGGGATTTGATCTTCCTGATTCTAAAATAAGCAAAGAGCAGAAAGTAAACTCTATCATACAGAAGCATGCAATTGGACCACCAAAAGTTGCCAGCTATTCTTTGCCAAGAACTCTTAATAGTGATATAGGCACACAATCTAGTTTGAATACAGAATCTGCATTTTACTCATTGGAAGGTGACAAAGTTAACTCAATGGGGACTCAACATGAGAACGGTCTTTTTTCTAGCTCATTATCAGAGTTGTTTAGTAAAAACTGTAAGTCTACCCCCCATCAAAACCAATGCTTCAATTTACTAACCTAATTGTGATTGATGTGACTGATCTTTTAAATGCCCTCATATTTTCATCCTTATTCTTAAAAGTTCAATAAAAAGTTTTTATTTCTTTTAAATAAATGAGACATTTTATTGACGTATTGGAAACTTTAATGCAGTGCAAGAAATAATGAACAGTTTTCCTCGTGGAAACTCTGTTGGTGTAGCAGCTGCCTCACACTATCAGGACGAGGAACCTTTAGAATCCCTTGAAGAACTTGAGGCTCAAACCATTGGGAATCTTCTCCCTGATGATGATGACTTGCTCTCTGGAGTTACAGATGGGATCGATTGTGTTCACCAAACCACGGATGATATAGAGGATCTAGACCTGTTTAGCAGTGTTGGAGGGATGGACCTTGGTGAAGATGGTTCCCATCAAATTGGTGGAACCCCATCTAGCATGGGAGGCAATGGGACAAATATTGCTGTGAAGTTAGCAGGTGGATCTTCTTGTACCAAGTATATGGACAAAACCATCACCCATGGGATATCAATGAATGGTCGTAACAGCCACTTGCATGGTCAAATGAACATTGAGTTTAAGGGCACGCCGAATTGCCATCCTCATTCTCTTCCCAAATATCATGACAGTGGTTTAACCAATTTAACTCCTTCCAATTCTCCAGGGGGCATTGCCTCCACAAATATGGATAGCAGGCAATGTAGTAGACTGGGCTCAAATGGGCATTCAAATGATTTGAACGAAACCGGTCAGTTTCAATGAATTTTTAAATTTTCTCTTTGGATTGTCGTCTACAAATTAAGCACGTCAAATTAAGTACATTAATTAACTTGGAAAATATGCATATTAGTAAATTTTATCAAGTACAAACACCAAGCAAACAGTAAGCTGCTAAATCATAACTAGCCTTCTCGAGTCCAACTTGGATAAGGGGTAAAAGGGCCCTACCAGAGTCTAACGGGTTCCCATTTATCTATTTTCTTTTGTATAATTCTTGTTGATGAGAATACTAAACAAAAGAATTCATTTTATTAATACGGGTATTATCTGGAAATGGATGCCAAAATGTTGAGTATATCTAATTCTCAGTCCCCCTTGCTCAGTTTTTGGTCCCTCCGGAAATGGTGGATGTCCATCACCCGGGAATCCATATGCATGGAGTAGTTCACCCCAGCGACCGGCTCAAAGGATGATGTGGCCAAACTCACCTTCTTTTGTTAGTGGATTTAGTGCTGCACGCCACCCGCAATTGCATGGACCACCATCTCATATGCTGAGTGGGCGGGTTGTACCAGTAAACCACCACCATGTGGGATCCGCTCCATCTCACAATCCTTCTCTCTGGGATAGAAGGAATGCATATGCGGGAGAATCTCCTGATGCACCGGTCTTCCACCCAGGTTCTCTTGGTAGTTTGCATATTTCTCGCAACTCACCGCAGCCATCTTTAGAGTTTGTTCCTCATCATAATATCTTCTCCACGGGAGGTGGAAATTGTATGGATTTGCACATGCCTTCCAAAAATGTTGTTGGGTTGCACTCACCTCATCAGAGGTGTATGATGTTTCCTTCAAGAGGCCAAATGATTCCTTTGATGAATACATTTGATTCTCCCAATGGAAGGTCAAGATGCAGGAGAAGTGAAGGCACTTTGAGTCAAATGGACAACAAGAAACAGTTTGAGCTTGACATTGACCGAATTGTGCGAGGGGAAGATAAGAGGACAACATTAATGCTAAAGAACATTCCTAACAAGTATGTTGTGATCACTTAGTTCTATACACCATTTTTTTTACCTCTTTAATTGATTTATTAATTTCATGGAAATCTATATTGAATGGTTTTAAAATATGTTAATTATTTAGCTGGTCTATAATTACTACCCTGCTATGAATAAACTGTTCAATATCGGAAGTTTTAAGAGGAAAGGTAACGTAGAACCTCGATAGTAAAACCAGTAGATGCTAGCTATATATACAGGCCGGGCACTTGCTTTCACAATCTGCTGCTGACCTCATAGCTCTACATGCCAAGTGTTTCGTGTATAATATACTGAGTATTCATTTATATACTCCCTTCATCTCTAAATACAATCAAGATTACAATTTATGATGTTTGACTAAAATGATTTTCAGTTTTTTTAAATATTGTTGTGAAATTATAAAATATAATGTACATATTAGAAAACCACGGAGTATATTAAAAATTCTTTAAAATAGGTCACATGACTATTTTATTATAACGAATGATTAATGTAAATAAATAAAGAAAATATAGTTTGACACTTTGACTTTGACATTTTGAATTGTGGAAGTGAATTTTGTTTAGAGACTATGCTTTTTTACTGTTATTGCTTTAATATGTGTCTCTATCTTCCCTTTATGGCAACTCTAGGTACACCTCAAAGATGCTTCTGGCCGCAATTGATGAACGCCACAGAGGAAGTTATGATTTTATCTATTTACCTATTGATTTTAAGGCAAGTAAATTAAATATTGACCATGGAAGGCAATTTCTATACTCTGTTTTATCTATAGTATGCTCCTTTCGTCCCTTAGTAAACTTCACATTTCGATTATGAATTTATTTTCAAATAAATTTATTTAAATATTGGTGTAAAATTGAAATATAAAATTTAATATTTTAAACCCCGTAGTTCTATAAAACGTGTTGTGACAAGACTATTTTATGTTAACAAATACTAGTACAACAATAACTACAACCAAGCCTTATCCCATTAGTTCGGGTTGGATACATGGATCAAATACCATATTTGCAGCAAGATCATTCACGCGAAGGTCCCATTTGACCACTTTGTGCCAATTCTTCTTAGGTCTACCTCTTTCTCTAACCACATGTCTATTTTCCGTTTGATCAACCCTTCTCACCGGATGCTCTATGGGTCTTCTCTCTACTTGTCCAAACCACCTTAGACGGGCTTCC